AAGCATGTGTGTTACATCCTTCCTGCCCACTTAGCAGGGACTGTGGGCTGAATTCCTCCAAGGATAGGAATGAGACTGATATAAGCTGTATATGGAGATCCGACTTTGTCAGAACCAAAGTGAATGAAGCATTTTATAGCCTAAAAGGTTTATGTTTTGGAAACAACTATAGTTGCAAGGAAGTACCCATTCCCAACTTCACAAAGAAAAGATTTTAAAACAAACTCACATGGTTAAGTAAATAATGACATGCTCTAACAAATAAATAGTATGCAGGTATTAAAAAGAAAGAGGAATAATTCTATGTACTTATACTCTTCAGGAAATACTGTAAAGTAAAAACAACAACAAGGTGCAGAGCAGGGCAGTATGTTATCACTTGTTTACAAAACAAGAGAGGACTTATATATCAACACACATATACACATATATACATGTATACGTACATATAGAGAACAGTGCAGTATATGTACACATAGGAATATATATGTATTCTTTTTATGCATACAACATTTCTGAAAGGATATACAATTTAAAGAAGTCTAGAGAATTCTACACTCTTCAAGGTGAGATGTTTCTTGGGCATTCCTATTTATCTATGGTGCTAGAAAGTATAACGTTACTCTATTTTTCTATTATTTTTGCTCACTTATAACACCAAAGAAATAGAGCTGGAGGTATTATGCAACCGGTAATAGCCACATGGTGTGCAAACTTGAAGATTACTTTAAGTGTATTTTAAATCTCACAGGACATTAATATTGTTAGCGTTTCCTAAGTCAACATTTAGATTTGCCCACATATTTACATTATCTTTGTTCTTCATTCTTTCTTGCAGTTCTAACATTGCACCTGGATCATCTTTCTCCTGCCAGAGGGATATTTGTATTTCTTTTTTCTCTCTCTCTCTCTCTACTGGTGACACATTCTCTCAGCTTTTGTGTCTCTGTAAATGTGTTTAAAACATCTTCATTCAAGGAGGATGCTTTTCTTACCTACAGAATGCTGGATTGGCAATTATTTCAGCATTGGTGAACTATCATCTCTTTCTCTTCTGGTTTTCTTTGTTCCTGTAGAGAATTCAGTTGTCAGTCAATTGCTGCTTCTTTGAAAGTAATCTGTTATTTTTTCTCGAGCTACTTTTTGTCTTCTCTTTTCTATGATGTGCCTGATGTGGATTTGTCTTTATTTATCCTGTATTTAGGGGTCATAAGACTTATTGAATATATAGCTGGACGTCTTTTACCAGTTTGGGAAAATTCTCATAATTTATTTATTCAAAAATGTCTTCTACTCATTCTCTTTCTCATTTCCTAAAAGCTATTGGAACTTCTATTACCTCGGTGACTCTTTTCCTCTATGCTGCATTTTTATTTCCTTTAGTTCTGTAGGTATTTTCAAATATTTTCTTCCAGCCTATTTGCCTGTGAGTAATTCTCCCTTTAGCTATAGCAAATTAACAATTAAACTCATCCACTGAGTTCTTAATTTTGTTTTGTTTTTTTGTATTTCTAAGTTCTGGAATTTCTATTTGGTTATTTTCCAAATCTGCTATATCTTTTTTTAAAAATAATGAGTTATTCTCTGCCAAAATTCTCTATCTTTGCTTCTGCCAGGTACCTCTATCAGAGTGAGTCTCAACCTTGGTTACCAATTAGAATAATCTCACAGCTCTGGAGGTCAGTAAAAAGAACAAAAAACCGCCTCAGCCTTCCTGCTACATTTTTGAGAATTGGCAGCAGTTCTGAAAGGCAAAGTTGTTCCAGTATAAGACTCAAGTCTCTGAGTTTACATCTGCACCAGAAATTCTTCAACACACCGTCAGCTCTCTAATGCCCACAATCAGATATTTGCCATTTATTGTCCAGTTTTTCTCATTATTCTCACCAAGAGTCTTGGTCCAAATGCCTGGTTTATAATTTTGTTACTGAAGGTTCAAGTACCTGGAACTTGGTGTTATATAGCTTTAGTTTGCAGGTAGGAAGAATAGAAAGTGAGCGGATAACGAGGATTATTTAAGTATTTAGAGTCACAGAAGTCTTAAGACTGGTTAGAAGTCTTGTGGTATAGTGAATATTTGTCATGACTAACAAATCTTTTGAATTAATCGGCATCTTTTGAAAAGCCTTCTTATGTTTATAGAGCTTTCCACCTTATCAGTCCTGCCTGTCCATTCAGGAAGACAGATCTTAATCTCCAGCCTCTTTTACAGCTAGGCTCAGGCGTGTGACATACTTTGCCAAAGACGGTCGACCATCTGGCTCTGCATTGCAGAGAAATGGCTAGGAAGCAGGCATACTTGGTAGGAATGGTAATGGCGGCTTTTGCCTTCAGAGGGCAGCGGTGGTGAAGCTTTAATCGTCTGAGCCTGTTTCTTTGGTGTGAGCTATTTTAGTCTGAGTCCTTTGAGAAACAGACGCGAAGAACTATTTAAACGAGCAGGGTTTCTATTGGGGAAATGTCTGTGCAAAGTAAGTTAGTCAAAGGCTGGGATGGCCATCAAGCCGCGGTGCAAGTCTGACCCTGAGTAAAGAAGAGAGAAGCCAAGGTTGGGTAGACGAGTCCTAGACTGCCATGCAGCCTAGGGAAGGCTTGGCAAAGCTGTTGGGGAGTCCTCCAGCCTAAATCGGCTGTCAAAGAAGTTCCCCATCTCCCTGGAACGGATCCGCCCCTAGTGTTCCTACTTCACACAATCATTGAGTGGGAGCCACCCATGGGAGGAGTCGCCTCACAGCAAATGCTGCGCAGGGTGTAACAGCCCAGCTGCTGGGACACGTTGGATGCTTTCACAATCTCTACACGGCTTTGGAAACTGATTAAAAATATTCTCTAAATGATATGCTATTGTGCCGCAATAGTTACAAAGAAGGTGACTCAGGGGAAGCTATTGCCTGTCGCCATACCTCTGCATTTGCTTGCAGCCTCAACCCCCGCAGGTGACGGAAAAGGGAGGTAGGCATCAAGATACCTGGCTTAGTACTTCCTGCTTTAAACAAAGAACGCAGTGTGGGAGTTTTTCCTGCGCCGGGCTTGTTACTTTACCCCAGATAGGGTGACTGACCCAGTTGTCCTGCCCTCCTCCTCCCATTCCTAAGCGCTTGTTTTATTTATCTATGTCTTCATTGTTTGCTACAAGCATCCTCCCTCTACTTGTTTCCTTCCATTATCCAATGAACTGTCAAGCTGTTGGTCAAGTTGCACAAACTGACTTGGCATTGAGAGATTTCCTTTAGCTGAGCATTAAATCAAAAAGGAGCAAGAGGTGTAAATACATAATGTGAAGAGTACTGGGGCTTCAAGACAGAGTAGAGTACTTTGTATATAGTTCAAGTGATTTCAGGAGTTATATAAAATGTGTGTGTTGATCAGCTTGACCCCTATTTCAGTATCTTCTGAGAGTTTGTCTCTCTCTTTTCTTTCCTGTTAGTTTGAAGTTCTTTTCTAGAGGTAACATAAAAACAGTTGGGAATAAGAAGGAAAACATTACTGTATTTTCCTCCTCTGCTAAAGAGAACACGCTTCTCTAAGACTTATGGAATGAATAAATGGTCAAGCAATGAATTAAAACCATTGCACAGCCATTACAGTAATTTTTTGAGACTTTATTGAGGATTTCCTAAATCCTGTGGAGTGGAAACTGGCATACGGAGGGGCTTCCCTTTACACCAGGCATTCTTAACCTGGGATCCATACTCCAAGGGGTTTAAAAACTTACGTAGGAAAAAAAAATACATCTTTATTTTCACTAACCTCTTAGTTTTCTTCAATTATGAATGTAGGCAGTAACCAGAGTAGTATTAGCAGTTACTGTTTGTTACTCTGTCACCAATAAAAATCAATTTCTTATCACAGTTGTTACAGATATCTCAAAATATCATTTATGTTCTTCACTATTTTGAAGTTATGGGAGCTTATTAGCTCGTTATTTAATGCAAAGAAACACCCATATAACTATATATACACGAAACTATTATGTAACAGTTTATTTTTGATAACTGTATTTCAACGTAATTTCCGTTGTCATGATATATTTCATTTTATGTGTTTAAAAACATTGCTCTGGGAAGGAGTATGTAAGCCTCACAAGGTTGCCAAAGGAGTCTTTGGCACGCACACAAAAAAAGGTCTAAGATTATCCTGGCATGAATACATACAAAAAGATCATTCAAGGGCTACTAGTATAACACGGAGCAATTGATAGCTGCCGCTGTAAATCTAAAAAAAAAAACACTACAAATTATGGATCGATAACTGAGAGGAGAACCTTAAGGAGCAACCAAGAACTTCAATTTAAAGAGGGAAAAAAATGTTTTTCAGAAATCCGGAAGCCAAGGGTAAGCAATGAGGATAGGAGGGGCCCACTCCAGTCTCATACTTTGTTACTGGCTCCAGGGACTGGGGGCCAACAACCCACTTCCTGTTGACTGAAGCTAGGACCTATCCCGTCCCTATTCCTGCCCTGCCCGGATCAAAGGGGCACACTCGAGACAGACAGGGAAACACAAACCCTACAGCACCGAATCAAAGAACTCTCTAAAATGTGTGTCGGAGCACTTTGCCGGTATCAGACGACCACTAGTGTTCTGGTGTGCATGAATGAACTGGCTCCATTTCCTGTCGGCTGGGGCTTCAACAGCAGCAGTTGACCAAAAAGTTTGGTCCACAGCCTCAAGTTCGGAAATCATCGCTAACCAGCGGCGGTCTCCACTACTACAGGCTGTCGGCCCATTTCCTCCCTGACTCCTAGGGGAGTGTTTCGGCCGGGACCTTTACTTGGCGGCCGGCCCTCTCCTAAAAGTTCAAGTGCGGCGTCTTTAAGACCCCAGGTTGGAGAACCGAACCCTCCAGCAATGTCTCAGACTCCGCCTCCTTCTCTGCGGCCCGGGCAACACTCCCGCACGGTTCCCGAGAGCGGCGCCGTTAGCTTACATAGCAGCCGATGATTGGCTGCCTCGCCCTGGCGGGCCGGGATTGGCGGCCGGCCGGCCCCGCCCCTCACCCCCACCCAGGCCCGCGGCCGCCCGGGTGTCCTCGCGCTGCTTGTCCGCGCGCCACCTGGCAGTTTGCCTCTTCCTCGTCCTCCAGCTTGCGTCCATGGCCACCTCCGTCACCGAGGAGCCCTTCCCCTTCCACGGCCTCCTGCCCAAGAAAGAGACCGGGGCCGCCTCCTTCCTCTGTCGCTACCCGGAGTATGACGGGCGGGGAGTGCTCATCGCTATCCTGGACACCGGGGTTGACCCCGGGGCACCGGGCATGCAGGTGCGGCAGCGGCGGAGGGCCCGGGCGCGGGGGCGCGGGCGACCGGCGGGCAGGGGACACGGAGGGGACGCAGCCTCCGAGCTCGGAGGCCCAAGCCCGCTCTGCGGCGGAGCGGGAGCCGGGCACCGGGAGAAGGCGGAGGGCAGAGCGTGCGCGCGAGGCCCGGGGGCGGTAAGGGGCCGGGGGCCCGGGCTCCCGGCTGGGCGGTGATCCCGGCCCAGACAAAAGCGGCGTGCCTGGCGCGGCTGGACGGGCGCCTGGGTCCGCCTTTGGCTCGGAAGCCCCTTCCTCCCCAGGTGTTGCCAGGCCTGGGCCCTCGGGCTCCTTCCCGGTACAGATACTTCGCAGATACCTCGTGCCTAGGGCGCCGGCCAGTGTCTTCTATTTTCAAACGAGGGTTTTACAATTTTTATTATTTGTCAGGGGATGGGAAGGAAATATTATAGAAAAGGGGCAAATGACCTATCAGTACTTCCTTTTTATTGCTGTCGTTTGAGAATTTGGTTTTGGGGAAGAATTGTTGATCTTGAAACACTAAAGCCGGGTTTCAAGAAGATAACTCGGTCAACTTCCGGAATTGTTTCCTCTGGTAGTCTTGTGTTTTCTATTTTTAAACCATCGTCTGCAAAGTACTTGTTTAGGGTCAGTGAAACGCATGGCTTAGTCTTTGTTTGGCATAGGAAGAACCTAATTTAGTTTTGTTTTTGCGAACTCCTTAGACTTTATTAAATTACACATCAGTGTATTTTTAGCCTCAAAATATAAGACAACATGCTTTACGATTTAAAAAAAATTACTTCGTTTTGCGTTAGGCACCCTTTGACTCATTAGGCCAAGGTACCATACTGAACGGTAATTTTAAGGCTGTGTCTCTGGATTAAAAGTATGCTGAGTAAAATCTTCAAAGTTTGACTTGTAAATTCAGCCTTAGCGTTTTCCTGAAATCTTGTAATAAACAAAATTTCGCCTTTGTTAAGGATCCATCTTCCAAAAGTCTAACCTGGCCAATCCTACTGTATGCTGATCTCTTCCTTATATCACTCCTTATCTGTGTATCTTACACTCCTTTCTACACTAATCGCTGAAGTTAAATAATTCTCTTCTTCCCCTTCACGCCCCTCCCGCCTCTGGATCCTCTATTGTGCTCTCTAATAATTGAGGTAGTAGCATTTTGAGGGTAGGATGTAATGCAGGAGGAAAAGGGAACCAGTCTGACTGACTGAATCCCTCTGGTTCCTTTTGTTAATTCTTCAGCATCTGGAGTACAGTATACCTTATGGTGACTCTCCCGGACAGCTCTAGTGAATCCGAAGGGGATTCAGTACCATCCTGGTAGCATTAGTGGAACAACTAGTTGTGTTAATAACCCTGAAGACTTACAACAGTGACAGCTGTCACCTTTTTGAGACTTTATTACTGACTAGTAATGATTTATATTCTGTTGTGGTATATGTTTACTTTTTATAGGGATAAGGGGGAGAACAGCTGGGGTAGGTGGTTCTCTGGTTCTTTTGTCAGGATAAGTGGACAAGAAGAGTTTGGAGGAGTACTGCCTCAGTAAAAATGGTTTTGTAGAAGTTCACATATCTGCTTATCAGATTATTCCATTACTCTCTGTAAAGTAACAGTAATTCTCATCGCACAGTGTCACTATGAAAGTTGAGATTAATTACATGTGACTTTAAAGTGCTCAAGAAAAGTGTTAAACACCATTTTTTTTTAAAGCAAGGATATTTGGTAGAAGGAGTTTACTCTGGGTCTTGAATCCACCAGCTATCTGAAGAATAAATATGCATTAGATCTTTGCATGTAATAACAAATGTTCAAGCAACAAAATATTGAAGTAAAATGAAAACATAACTCTTCTAACAAGAGATTGACCTAAACATGGCTAGTTAAAAGAAATTCAGTAAGGTGTCTTGCAAACATGAGTGAATTTTTAAGTTTTGGGTTATTTGCTTTTTTTTTGCCTTTAACAAATTTATTTTCTATACATCATTAAGATAAGGTGAATAGAAGTAAAAAGGAAGGAAAGAATTAAATAGGGGAAGAGGAAGCCAAACTGGACATTCGGAAAGCCACGTGGGATCTGGGCAGAGGTCTTACAGGCACAAGTGAAACCTCTCAAGAACACAGTGGGCTGTCTTATTCTGTGACTGCCTTGAGCCCAGTTCTCTTTTGTGACAGTTGTGTGGGCTTGTTAAAAGTGAATGACGGCGGGCCCACCAAGTGGTTCAGTTGGTTAAAAGCACATGCTCTGAGCAACAGGGTCGTTGGTTCAATTCCCACGTGGGCCAATGAGCTGCGCCGGAGCTAAGCTTCCAGCAGGTGGCAGGATGGCTCAGTGTTTAGAGCCTGCGCTCTTAGCAACAAGGTTTCTGGTTCAACTCCCACATGGGATGGTGGCCTATGCCCACCGCATCTAAGATTGAAGGACAACAACTTGGCTGTTCCCCTTTCCCAATTCCCCAATTTAAAAAAATAAATAAAAAAGTGAATGATGGTGGACAGCACAAGAAGAGTGATAATGACATAAATGATTAAATCTTTCCTCAGCAAATATTTATTTAATAAAGATAAAAGTCCTTCCCCAGGCACCTGTTAGTTGCTTAATGTTGTGTTAAAAGATGTAGTCCTGCTGACTGTTACAGAGATTGATCAGAGGACCAGTGAGAGCTGGACCAGTGAGGCTTTACAGATGAGGGACTTGGGCTGGACCTGGAAATAAACATGCAATATCCAGCAGGCTTCCCTGCTACTAGTGTTGCTTTATTGATTTATCCTTCACATTGCCGAAGTTATTTTCCTTTAAAAATACCCCTTCCGTTACATTCTTATTTAACATAAAACAGAACTATTTTGGCATCCTATTTACCTTTGCATAAAAATACAAGAATTAGTACTATGTATGGCCCTTCACCATCCAACTTCACCTCCTCATGCAGCCTCAGTTCTCATCTCACCATTTCCTCTGTTGGTATTCACTGCACCCACTCCTCACCCTGTGCCCCACCTGGAACGTTTCACTCTTTTTCCGCTCACCCAAATGTTTCAGGTCTCTCCCCAACAATGCCTTTGCACACGGAGTTTAATCTGTGCAAGCCTTTATGATCACCTGTAAACTGTTTAATAAGACCTAGCTGGGTCTTAACCCCATTACCTTTTGGGGTATCTACTGATTTAACTCAGCCCCCCATCGTGTATTTATGTTTATGTGTCATTGTGTTAGGACCTGGGAGTCCAAGGATGAATAAGGCCCAGACCCTGCTAAAAGAATTTTTTAGTCTTTTTTTCACTCTCTTTGCTCATAGCAATCTGTTCATATACCTCTGTAGCACTTAAGATGTTTCATTTTAGTATTCTGTTTACACACCTTTTTTCCTGATTAAGTTAAAATTCTTTGAAAGCACCTATCCAAATTCATTTGGCATAATGTGCTTGTAACATTACATTTTTTAGCTGAATGGAAAAAAATGTGTACATGTACATCATTTCCTCATGGAGAAAAAATGGTTTGGGAAAAGAGGTAACAAGTAGTCCTATTAAAATCTGTTTTTATATTCACTAAAATATAAAGTGTAATCAGTAAATATATGCATATGTAATTGGGTACTTTTGATTATTAAAAGCAATTAATTTTAATTTGTATTACCTCTTTTTCAGTTAGCATTTCCTCATTCCTCCAAACAAGGTTTTGTGTTCTTGAATAGTTTCATAGATATTGTCTGTACCTTTATTTAGTGTCCTGCACTGCAGTTATCGCTTTACTCATCTGTTTTCCTAGCTGGATTATAAGCTTTCTGAAAGCAAAGCCTATCTTCTTTTTCATTGTGTTCTATTATGAATACTATTCATTTAATAGTATTTGTGTATGAAATATCTTCCCTTGCTTAAAGGAGTATTTTCAGTATCTTCCCTGAAATTTCAAGCAAATACTTATACATTCATGTTTTGTTTGTGATAATTTGTGAACTCCCCACCCTTTGTTTTGGTCTTCTACAAATGTTTAATGGATGGCTTCCAACCCTCAGGGACTCCACCATACCTGTTTCAGTGGGAATACAAAGTAGCTTACATTCTTTCTTTTTTTTTTTTTAGCTGAGCCATCCTGCTACCTGTTGGCAGCTCAGCTGCTGCTCAGCTCGGGCTGGACTCAAACCGCTGTTGCTCAGAGCTCAAACTCTTGAGCAAGCTCTTAACCAACTGAGCCACTCGGCTGGCCCTACCAAAGTAGCTTACATTCTTGACATTTGGGGAAAACCTTTGGGCAATTTCTGTTTTGTCCTGTCAATGTGATGGCCCAGGAAGCCTTTCTTAGCCTCCCACCCCCAGTACACTGGGTTGATGACCTTTGCTCTGCTCGTAATAACTGTCTGTGCCTTTAGTCCCTCTTCCCATGTGACACCTCCGGTTCCTGAAAGATGAGGAATATGGTTCTAATGTTAGCAGTTCATTTTCCTTCTCCCAAAGCTCCATTGCAAAATTCTCAGCTGGTTTCCCTTTTTAAAAACCTTTCCTTAACTCTAAATTTCATCTTTTGTCTTAGTATCACCAGTGGAATGGTTGGCCTTTACATAATGGTGAAGTAAGAAGTATATGGATAGAAAATTACATATATAAGAAAATTTTTAATGAGAGAGAGAGAGATCCTTGTAAGTAAAGCTGTGTCAATAGTAGATAGTAGATAAGCCACTCAATCCCCTTAGGCTTTCTTCCTTTGCTTACGGTATTGATAATAAGGTTTCTAATGAGAGGGATCTATGTCTGACTTGTTATCTCATGTGATTACTTGATCTCAAGTCACTGAAGTTGTTTGCTCATTGAATGAGAAGATAGGTGGTTTGTGTTCTTAGTGCTATTAAAATATTTGTATAGACAGTCCCGAGAAATATCTTCAAATTAAGTGTTACCATACGTAAAAGCAACGGCTGTGCAGCCCTGGGCAAAGCTGTCAGCCCCTGGTTGTTCGATGGTTGGAGCTAGATTTGGATCCACCAGCCACCCCCTTGCTTTGCCTTGTGAAAAAAAAAAAAATGTTTGCCCTTGTTTACTCCATCTAATGACGTTCCCTCTCTTCCTTTCAGGTGTACCTTAACTACAGGGCTTTATGGACACTGCAGTTGGTGTTGGGGAGGGACGCAGGTGACTCATATAAAGGGACACTAAGCTTTATCTTAAAGAGAGTGAATTCCCCCAAAGGAAAAGGAAAAGGAGTCAGGAGTCCGAAGGCTTTGTGCTCTTGTCAACTGTTGTCATTTTTTACATTCCTGTTTCTTTCTTGAGAGGCGTCTTCTTTCAGCCTTCTTTGTGTCCTTGTGCATGATTCCTGCTGACAACTCAGTACATATATGTTGAATGCTATAGATTTCCATTGCAAAGCTAGTCCAGAAAGATCCCAGAAATGATTTTCCTCATAAAAATAATTTGAAAATATTGTACTACTGTTACCTGTAGCAGTGAGCGTGGCCCAAATGAAAGTTTGTGGACCAGACCTTAGGAAAATCAGTCTTACTGCTGAATAGTTAGTGTCAGATCACTCAGTAATTAAATACATATCTAGTACCTAATAGGCACTGGTAGGTTTTGGTGAATAAAGTAGACACAGCCCTTGCCTTTATGGAGCTTATCTTCTAATAGTGAAACTAGAGAAGGGGTCACCTAACTGTATAACTACTAATTGATTTAAGTTCTGTAAAGGAGACAGGTACAGAGAGAAAGAATAATCAGGTTTAGGATGGTGACCACTCAAAAGAGATCATAGGGAGGTCTTTCTGAAGGGATGATATTTTAGAAAACTGTAAGATGAGATTGGAATTCTTGTGGAAAAACTGAAGGGACAGAATTCCAAGCAGAAGGACCCTTTTGTGAGGCAGGAAAAAGTTTGGCACGTTCCAGGAATTGAAAGGAGGCCAATGTAAAGTCATGAGTGGCTGGGTTCAGATCCCGCACAGGCTTTTTATATTACGCATTCTAGATCCATTGCAGATTTTAAGCCAAGGTGTTAAGTGGAGGACTGGCATAACACAGCTTGTTTTGTTACTGATTTTGGTGGGGGCCACGAATGGATACCGGGAGACCTGTAAGGAACATCCACATTATGAAGGCAAGACAGGATGGTGGTGGAGGATCCTGGTCGTGAAAAGTCAAGTGAAGATGGACTTGAAGTATATTTTAGAGGTAGAAGTAAGGGCAGTAAACGGAAGAGTCAGAAAAGTTTCAGGCTTGAGCAACTAAGTATGTGTTTATTTACTGAAATGGCAAAGCCTGGAGAGAAAAAAAGTTTGAGTGTTAAGTTTGAATTTGGGCTTACACTAAGTTTGAGTGCTTATTGTGGCATCCAGTAATGAAATATTATTAAACATTTTTCCCCTCAAGTTTTGTACTTTTCCAGCCCTAAGCTCACCTTCAGATCTTTTCTCAAATGTTACCTTCTCATTGAAACCTTTTTTGGCCAGCGTGTTTAAAATTGAAAGCCCCATACCATCTGTCTCCTTTCCCTGCTTAATTTTTCTCCATAGTAATTATCACTATCTGACATGTTATATATTTGTTTATTGACTGTATATAGCAAGGTTTGTGAGGTCAGGGTTTTTGTATATTGATTATTGCTATATTGCCAACACCTAAAACATTATGGCCTATAGTAAATGTTCAGTAATATTTGTTAACCAAATATATGAAACCACTTGAAGGATTCTGTGATATTTTCCATGACTAAATTTTTTTATTTTAGGATTGTCAGGGTTTGGGCTTAAAACAATTCAGTTCTCTTTTTTAAGTGAATACAGATTTTTTAGGGCATTGTTTTCTTTAAGGATAAAGTATTAAATATATAATTCATACATAATTCTCTTTAATTTTCAGGTTACAACTGATGGAAAACCAAAAATCATTGACATCATTGACACAACAGGAAGTGGTGATGTGAATACCACTACAGTAGTAGAGCCAAAAGATGGTGAAATTATTGGCCTTTCGGGAAGAGTGCTTAAGGTTGGAGCTTTTATCTTTTTATTGAATATTTTCTCTTTTTTTTTTTTTTTTTTATATACTGTCACCTCATACCATCTACTGTTTTTAGCATACATTTGGTATGGTGAGTATTAGTTAGCTATTGCTGCATAACAAATTACTCCAAAAGTTCATGGTTTAAAACAGCAAACATATTATCTCACAGTTTCTGTGAGTCAGGAATCTGGGTGTGACTGAGCTAAGTGCCTCTCGTTCAAGATCTTTTCTGAGCTTGCTCTCGGGTAGGGCTGTGGTTTCATCTGAAGGCTCAACTTGAGTGGGGAAGGAAGTCTGTTTCCAAGCTCGATCAAGTGGTTATTGGCAGGCTTTGGTTCTTGGCTATGAGGGCCTCTCCGTGAAACTGCTTCACAACATCCCGCTATCTTCCCCCTGGAGGAGTATTCCAGGAGAGAGTGTCCAGGAAGGAGGCCGTTGCCTTTTTATAAATTAATCTTAGAAGTGACATCCTATCACTTCTATGTTCTTTTTATTAGAACTGAGTCATTAAATTCAGCACACACTTAAGGGGAGGGGATTTTACAAGGGCATGAATACCAGGAAGTGTAGGAGTCATTAGGGGCAATTTTAGAAGAAAATAATTGTTTTGTTTGATAGCAGGCTTACAATTGGGGTATTTTTTTCAATGTGGTTGCCAAATTCTAAAAATTTTAAGTTTTGAATATAAAGGTGGGAAAAGTGACCAGATGAGTTTTGCCTTCATCTTTTCCTATCCCTTCTGGGAACTCGAACATGAAATATTAAGACCTTAATAATTATGGACTTCAATGACTGGCTTTTTCCATGTACTTGGTAGAAAGGCTGGGTAAGCTAACAGGAAAAATAATTCGAATACAAACAGTAATTCATGAGACATTAGCTAATGAGTTTGTTAGATGGCAAGAATTTGATTGAGATTCAATAGTCTTTTAAACCAACAAGCAGAAGTTTGTGATTATTTATGTGTAAAGAGCTAAATTTAACTCTTTCCATCTTTCACTGTCTGTCTGAATTATGTTTATGCATTGTCTTTTGGATAAGATTGTTGTGGCAGTGGATTCATTTTCTGGGTTACAGAACAAATTAACAAAAACTTAGCAGCTTCAAACCACATACATTCCTACATTTATTATCTCACTGTCTCCACAGGTCAGGAGTCCAGGCATGGCTTTTTGTGGCTGTCTGCTCAGGGTCTTACAGACTAGACTGCAAGCGGGTGTTAGTTGGGACTCATCTGAGGCTCCTCTTCCAAGTCCACATGGTGACTGGAAGAATTAATTTTGTTGCAGCTGTAGAACTGACAGCTAGCTTATTGAAGGCCTCTAGGAGAATGTCTCTGACTTTGGGGATGTGGCCTGAGTCTCTTTTTCAAAGAGCTCAGCTGCTTAGGTCATGTCCACCAGGCTAATCTCCCTTTTGATTAACCCAGTCACCTGATTAGGGCCTGAAACTATCTGCAGTATCCCTTCACCTTTGCTGTATTGTTTACCATAATAATCACAGGAGTGATATTACAGGTCCTGCCTTCACTAAGGTGAGAGGACTGTACAAGGCCCTGGGTTGCCATAGAATCGGCCTACAACAAGCACACAGGTGGTATTAATATCCAGGTTTTGCTTCCTTTTCCATGTGTTATGGACTGAATGTTTGTGTGCCGCCCCGCCCCCCCATTCATATGTTGAAGCCCTAACACCCAATCACCCAATGTGATGATATTCAGAGATGGGACCTCTGGGAGGTGATTAGGGGTAGGTGAGTAATGAGGGTGAGGCCCTCATAGTGGGATTAGTGCCCTTATTAGGGAGAGCTTGCTTTCTCTCTCTTTCTCTGCCATGTGAGGACACACTGAGAAAGCTGTGCTTTCAAGTCAGGAAGAGAGTCTACCAGAACCCGAGTGTGCTCGCACCTGTCTTATACTCCCATCCTTCAGAATGGCGAGAAAATAAATGTCTGGTGTTTAAACCACCCAATCTTATGGAGCCCAAGCTGACTAAGATACCATGTGCTTTTTAAAAAAAATTGTGAACTGCAGGGAAATGAGTATCTACACATCTGAATTACTCTAGTTTTGCCTGCCTTCCCCCCAAAATGAAAACCTTGTTTTTTAGAGTATGTTTCAGAGAGAAACGTGGGATTCCTGTGAGTTTTGTTACTCTGGGAAACTGCAGAGCACTCCTAGTAAGTCAGGCAGATTTAGAATCATATAAAGTATTTTCCTTGTTCATTTATTTTTAAATAGCTATGGTAACCTATGCTTTAAATAAACACATGAACTGATTATATCCTGAGTGCTCAAAGGTAGAATTATATATCCATATATATACTATGAAATAAGATCAGAAAATTGATAGTTTGTGTCTTAGGATACTATTCCTGGCCTTCTGGAGAAACTAGTGGTCGGTTACTTTTTGCCAATGGTGTTGCTATGAGCAGGCAGAAGCCAAAAAGGGACTAGTAGAAGCTTAATCCCTGTAATGATGAAATGTATAGTTGTAAAGGAAAGTGCATAAAACACATACATACAATTTAATTCATAATTAACTAGAACATGATTTTATCCATCACCCAGATTAGACCAAGACTGTTGTACCTCAGAAGCTTCCTGTGATCTCCAGGATCACAGCCTATTTTGACTTTTGTATAATCATTTCTTTACTTTCCTTTATAATTTTACCACCTCTGTGTGGATACGTGAAATATATTAGTTTTGCCTATTTGTGAACTTTATATGAATGACCTTATTTATGTATCATTTTATGTCATCTTTCTCTGGGTGTTTGGGAGATACATGAGATTCAGCTATGATGTTGCATGTAGAAATGATTTGTCCCATTTCATTGCTGCGTGGTGTGCCATGGTTTGTATATGCCATATTCTGTTCATTCTACTGCTGATGAGTTAGTTGAATGGCTTCCAGTCTGGGACTGTCCCTAACAATTTTTTAGAGAACATTCTTGTATACATATCCTGTGCACATGCTTATAGATAGCTCCAGGATATGTACCTGTGAGTGGAATTGCTGAATCATGGAGATAGTATTAACTTTATTAAGTGATGCCAAACAGGTTTTCTAAGTGTTTGTACTAAAACACATTTTCATGGGCAGTGTATAAGAATTGTAATAGTTGTACTGCCAACACTTGGTATTTTTAGGCTTTTTAAAATTTGCAAATATACTGATAATCTAGTGGTTCACATTGTGATTTTAATTTGCATTTCTCTAATTACTAGTAAGATTGAGCACTTTTTCATATGTTGTTTAGACATTTGGATTTTCTCTTTTATGAAGTGCCTATTCAAATTTATTTACCCATTTTTTTTTCTATTGAATTGTCTCGTTTTCTTACTGATATGTAAGATTTCATTATATATTCTATATACTTGTTCTTTGATTACATGTGCTTCAGGTATGCAGTTCTAGACTTGTATTTTTACTTTCTATGTGATTTATTTTGATGAATAGAGTTCTTAAATTCAATGTAATTAAATATCAGTCTTTGCCTTTTTGATTAATGCTTTTCATGTCTTAAGAAATTCTTCCTGACCCCAAGATCATGAAGATATTCTCTTCTGTTATTTTCCAAAAGCTTTCAGTATTTGTCTTTTCTTATTTGTTCTAGAATTCACCTGGAATTGATTTTAAGCTTACTTTGAAGTAGGAGTCCTATATCTTTTTTTCCATTTGGGCACCCAATTGCCCCAACACCATGTATTCAAATTCCATAATTTCCCTACTAATTTTCAATGTCTTCTTTTATTTTGCAGCCTTCAGCCTTCAAAATGTGGTGACTTGGTTTCTAAACTCTCATGACCTATTCTCTTTGTTTTTGGGGTTTTTTCACCCTTACCCTTATTCTAATTATAGTAGCATTTTGGAAGAGAGCTCAGTGGTTTTTGAAATTTTACTACATTCAACTTGAAGTCATTTTTTAAAATCATCCATATTTAGTATTACATATTAAAAAACGATTTCAAGTCCAGACATGATGCGTGACCATTTAGATGCAGTGATAGCTAAAGGAGAGCGTATATGCGTGTACTGCCAGTACCATTGTCTGACAAGTCTAAAATACAGGTTTGAGGTAAAAACTATAACAGGATTTGACTTCATGGAATATTAATACTGAGGATGACACTTGGCTTTTTAAGAAAATGTTCAGTTCTTTAGGCATTCCCTCTTTAAAAGAGGGAAAAGAGGTGTAATTAGTAATTAAAGGGATTCTGTTCCTCATATGAAAATCAGTCTTTTTATGTTGTATTTACCATTTAATTAAAAACATTTTAAAGATATCGACTTAAAATGGTCTAAATATAAAGCTTTGATTCTTAAAGAGACTGAAAATAACTTCATGTTGTATAGAATACTCAGGTGAAATTACATATTCATTCCATCATTGCTTCATAGAGAAAAGTTAGCTTTATTCTAATTTACTTAATGTTAGATAGCAAAACCATGAATATAACATTTATTTTCTTTTTTTTTTTTTAGTTTAATTTTTGTAGCTAGTCTGTGAAGAAAATATATAATAGTGATTAAGAAGTATGGTTGCAAGGACCCTGCAGATTTTGATCTTATAACTAGTTATAAATTATGTCTATTAGATTATTTTTATTGTATTACATATATTTTAAGTAATTGTAATTAAGTATGTCTTAACACCTGCTTATTTTGCAGGCATTTTAATTAGTTATTCCATTTAATTTTTTGATAGTTCACAGCTTTCTGTAATCTCCATACACAAAGAAGTTGTCACTAGCCTAGGGTTGGGTTACAAAGCCACCTGTGTATATTGGCACACCTGAGAGTAAATACTCTTTGAATTTGCCAACTAGTGACTACTTAACTCATTGTTGCAGTACTTTATTATTGTTATGTCACAGACCGTTACAAGAGCATTAGAGTTAAAATCCCTAGTCTCTAAAGAAGGTTGATGAGTTCTGAATGAAAATTTCTAGTTTGTATGCCAACATATATGCCTTCATAGTTGAAATTTCACACACTGCAGATATCCAGTTCATTCAGAAATGATTACTGCTATGTAGGTTTTTAAAAGGTCAGTAGATCTTTGAACTTCTGTGAATGATTGTTTTCCTCTATTTAGTTGTGAGAAAATATCATCCAAAAGTTTCCTACCTGGGGAATAATTTGATGAAGGACATGGGAATAAGTGGGTCAAAGATGTTGCCCAAGGGAAGATTGAGCCAACCAACTCTGAGTGGTTGATAGTTCAACCACAGGTAGGGATTATTTTCTTCCTTTTTACAGGAAGACTCCTGTGAATCCCACCTAGTTAATAGTAGAGTTTGGATTCACATTCAGGTTTATCTGACTTTAAATCACATGTCCTTTACACTGAATATTTTGGTCTCCATGGTAGAACTAGATTCCAGTTTTCTTTTCAGCCTTCCTGATGTTGGGGCAAGCAATTTAATTTCTTTGGCTTCTTGGCTTTCTCCTTTGGTAAACTGGCATAATCTTTACATCATTCTGTTAATAGCTTTAAGTGTTATTTTTAAATACTTTGCGGTAGTTGAAAAGACTATATAATATATTGTATATAATTAAAATGATTTTATAGAACTTTTTTCTTAAGAACTCACAGAGCACTTATTTGGTTTCTAGGCATTATCCCTGTTGTATCTTAGAGCCGAGTTAAGTTCTTGTTATTAGTAAGAAACCTAAGGGTAGAGAGGTTCTGTAAATTGCTTTTCCTCCCCACTAGTTAATGGACACTAGGGTGTTGAAAGGAGAAGTGAAGTGTCATTGATGCTTGAGAACTGAAGATCTCAGTGGTTTAATGAGGTTGCATATGTTGAAAGCATTTTATAAACTATGAAGCATTGTATAAATGAAAAGTATTCTAGTTTAACCATCTCATTTATGGATGAGAAAAGGAGCCAGCGAGATTATATTAAAGGGCACCTTAAAATATTAGAAATAGTGCTCTAAATAGTGAGCCTGCTCATCCAAGTTGAGCCATTAGAAGTGAAATACCTTTTTCTCCAGTAGTAAATCATTGGAATTGGAAAGCATTTAGTGAATCAGTATTTTACTTTTTTTCTATAGATTCCTGAGAACTGGACAAATCCCTCAGGCAGATATCACATTGGCATAAAAAATGGCTATGACTTCTATCCAAAGGCTCTCAAGGAAAGGATACAGGTAATGTACAATGTTGTATCAATGACTTAGTTTCTTTCTTAAATTTTATTTCTACTAAAGAAAAAAAAAATCATAAAATATCACTAACTCTTAATTATTTTGGACAATGGGAGGTTTTCAAACAGTGATTGCTTAAAGAGTCTGTTCAATGGAATGTTACCCATTTACATGGATAAGCTTAAACAATCTGAATACACTGAAATTATTTTCAAATTTTTGTGTATTTGTGGTTTTCAGGGAGAGGGATATAGCTTTCATTGGATTTTTGAAGGAATTTATTTTTAACCTCAACAAGGCTAAAGATTTAAAGTCCAGACTGCCCTGTTTATTCCCATTCCTACAGCTTTTATTACAATTTTTCCCATTTTCCTTACTGTTTACCTAGTCTTCTTGATCCCATTTAGTCATCATTCAGTGTTAAGGAAAGGGTTACTCAAACCTAAAGCAGCTACAGAAACACAAGTCTGTCATTAGAGAAATAAGAGTTGTGAATTGAGTGATACAGAGCCTGTTTTAAAACAGCACTATTCAATAGACCTTTCAGTGACCATGGAAATGTTTGAAGTGTTCCATATCTGTTCATTATGGTAGTCACTAGCCACAAGTAGCTATTGAGGACATGAAATGGGACTGATATGACTAAGGCATTGAAATTTTAATTTTATATAATGCTCTAATTTAAGTTTAAATAGTAACATGTGGCTAGTGGCTCCTGTATTTGATAGTGCGGCTTTAGAGGATTGCTATGACACTAGCTGACACAGACAGGTTCAGGGTTTCCATTGTGAAACAAGATGTAATCCTTGAAAATGAACCCGACAGGTAAGACCTGTGGGCCCTTTCATGTAATCATAATATTATTATTTGTTTCTTGGGGTCTATGAACCATACGAAGTCACTCAATGTATTACATATGCTATAACCATTACTTACTAGTCAGATTGCAGTCATTCTGCCAGAAGAAAATTATGAAAAAAATAATGAACATAACTTATTGGATACTATTTTAAAATTTCAGAGTGAAACACACATAGCACAGTATTTTTACACACTCTATTACATTTAATCAACTGTTGATAAAATACAAATTAACATGCAGATGTAGAGTTTTTAAGTTAAAGCTGACACCCCTCCTTACCTTCGTTGAGTTGAATCTTTTATTGGAAAGAATTTTTTTTTTAACTAGTAGACTTCCATTGGGAGGCACTATGGGTTAAAGACAGTGGAGATGAAGGTAAAACCAATTTCAGTAACAAAGAATCCTATCAGATCAAAGAGGATCTGAAAAACATAAGCTAGAGAGGGAGGAAATTGAAGATATCCGTATGTCCATTAAAATGCACCTGCGATCTTCCCCCTGTTCTCTGCTTGCACTTGACTTGAGAGATTTCCCAGTTCTGTAAGGTTCCAGAATACAGTATTTTCTTTTAAATGATTGGGAATTAAGTTATCTGACATAGTATTTTTTATTCTTGGAAGGATTTAAATTGGGGCATATGATGTAAACAAATACATTTGGATATGCCTTGATCAACTTATTCTCATAAAACCTAGGTGCAGTGAATTAATCAGTTTTTAATAATTGATTCATTGCTTTATCAATTTGATTATAAATGGGTTTTTTTTAAGCCTCTATATGAGAATTGTGTAGCATCACAACTAAGAACAACTAGGTCCTCGCAAATTGACTGCTTAGATTTACCTGAGTATTTGTCAGCCTCATTGTAAAGTAATTTTTCTGTCTTTGCAGAAAGAACGGAAGGAAAAAATCTGGGACCCTGTTCACAGAGTGGCCCTGGCAGAAGCCTGTAGGAAACAGGAAGAATTTGATGTTGCCAACAGTTGCCCTTCGCAAGTCGGTGCTAGTGGTTTTTATTTAAACATTACCATAGAACCATCCATATACCACAGACTTCTTAGAGAAGTAATAGACTGTTTTTCACAAGTTTTAAGTTAATTTTACTAATTTTTCCTTTATATTTGAAATCAATTCACATAATGTATTTATAAAATTTTTAAAACTTCTTAATGAACATACATATGTAAAAGTGCATAAATCATAAGTGTGTGGTCATGGATTTTCACAAAGTGAACACTCCCATGATGGTAGAACTGCGAACTCCATCTCAGGCCTCTTCCTAGTTATTGCTTCCTTCCTGCACCCCAAAGGCAACCACCGTCCTGACTTCTAACGCTGTTGAATGATTTTGCTTATTCTGAATTTGTAAAATGGAATCATACAGCGTGTTTTCTTTAATGTGTAGCTGCTTTCACTCAGTGTTATGTTTGTGAGATTCAACCATATTTGGGGTCTTGAAGTAGTTCGCTTTTCTTTTTGTGATGGATGACCCACAATTTATATATCCATTCTGCAGATTGATATTTGCTTTGTTTTCAGTTTTTGGCTATTAGAAAAAATGCTGTTTTGAACATTCTTGTGCATGTATTTGGTGGGTCATAAAGTGGTCGTACCAACTCATTCCCACAAGAAGTATATGAGAGAGTTCCCATTGTTCTTCATCCTTAAGTAGCCAGTACATTTTTTTTGAATTAACTTATAAAATAAAAATAATGTCTTGGTTTATAAATAATATATGCTAGTTGCAACACAGGTGTGTAAAGTAGCAAGTGAAAGCCTCCCAAATGCCACCCTCCAGGGGTGGTAACAACAACTCGATGTTTATCCTTATGGATTCCTCTTTTACTACATACATGTACCTTTTCTTAAACAAGTATGGAATTTTATTAGTGGTTCTCAACCCTGGCTGCATATTAGAATCATATGAAAAGCTTTTTAATACAGTCTGTGATTGTGCCTAGAAAGGAATTAAATCAAAACCTTGTAGGGAGACAGACATTTTTAAAAGCTCCTGATCTTTAATTAATATGCAACTAGGGCTGAGGACCACTGGCCTGCATGCACATTTAACTTACGTTTTCTTAATCTATGTATAGCATCCTTTTTTATCAGCTGTGTAATTTTCTGTTAGATCACTATTTGTCCTGATTCAGCCTCTTATTATGACACATTAAATATAGTATTTCAAGTACTACATATATGCAGCTAAATTTATAAAAGAGAATCTGGATTGAATTATCCACTTTATTTTATATAACAAAAATGTCTATATAATTGCCTTTTTCCTTTAAGGATGGTAAATGTTGAATATGTTGAATAATTGTAAACAAAGCATAACTTAAGATTTTTGGAACATGTGAAAATTTTTACTTACTAGGACTACGCAGGTGAATGTAGAGCAGTCTAATGTATATGCAGTTAAAAAATCCTCAGGTCAAAGCATGTGAAATTCTCATTTTTGTAGATCAAAGCGGTTAAATAGTAGCTTATATGTACATGGACTTGAATACATTATGTATTTAACTTAGAATCTTCTATAGGTGATAAGACAGTTGATGGATTTTATTATTTGTTTGAGCTCTTAAGAAACAGATTTTAAATGGAAACAGTCCAAAAATGAGAAAATCTAAAGGTTGATGGATAACTTATTTTATAGCAATTTTTAGAAATGAGTTATACACGTTACAGATATGTGACCAACACATGTCTGGCCAAATGATATCACCAACTTGTAACACAGTATCTTTCCCAAAGCAGGTGGAGTGAGTGACTGAATGAGAGACTGAATAAAAGAAGTATTATTTTTTAAATATTTAATATATTATTGGGTTGTCCGGAAAGTCTTGACACATTTTTGCAACGAAAAACATAGAAAAAATACGTCATGACTTTTCCGACAACCCAATAATTAATATCTGCATCATTAAATTGAACTACAAGTTGTGTAGATATAAAAAAATTTTTCTTAAATTTTTTCAGGCTAAATAGGACATTATGATTGTGTTGGGTCACACCGTGTCTTTGGTTGTATGTTAATGTAGCTTTTCAAGAGTACAAAATGTACTAATATTAACGTATGTTCTAATTGATTAGGCAAATAAACTAATCAAGGAGGAGCTTCAAAGCCAAGTGGAATTACTAAATTCTTTTGAGAAAAAATATAGTGATCCTGGGCCTGTATATGACTGCTTGGTATGGCATGATGGTGAAGCCTGGAGGTAAACTTTATATATTTTATGGCTCTTCGACGTGTTTTTATCTATTCTGAAGAACACTAACCCCTCAGAACCATCCAGAGATTTGGTTTATGTGACGTTTAATATCACTAAGCAAAACTATTTGATAGCCAAATTGGCTTTTGGGTAGTTTTGGACAAGCCGTTTTTGAACTTTTTAGTATTTTAGACACGAAACTTAACACGTTTTAAAAAAACTTATTTTACTAACCAGATAGTTACTGTTAACCAGATACAGCAGGTTGAACATTGGTATATTTAGAAATGTTCCTGATTGAAGCTGGGCAACTTGGGAAGTTACTGCAAGAGGCTGTTGCAAAGCATCTACTTTGGGCAAAGCAGGAAAAGTTGAGTGAAGACATTTCAGTAGAGACAAGGTAGCTAAGTTGAAGTGAGGCAGTGTGATGCAGAGTTCAGTCTCCACGATGGAATCCTAGCTTTGTGATCTTGAACACTTTATCTACCACTCTCAACCTGTTTCCTCGTCTGGTAGTTGGGTTAATAGTACCTCCATAGAGGATTTTGTGAACATTAATTTTGCTGTTTCTAGATACAGTATGTGTTCAATGTCAGCTGTTACTGCTGCTCCTACTACTACTACTAACAAAATTATGATTTATACCAAGTTACCTACTATGTACATTTTCAGTTTCTTTCCTAGTGAATTGTACACTGCATGTGTGTTTCTTGGAGTTAGCTATGTGGCCTCTTGAATTACTATCTGCCTGGAAGTAGGAATAAGCTCTTAATACAGATATTTAGGCATAGTGTGTTTTAGGGTACTTGCGGTAAACCAAGGGCCTCCTTAAAACTTGAAATCAAGAATAGTTTTATAGTTCGAGTCCCAGCTCATATGCAAAGAATCATTTCCCGAGATGCAGATACAGAACAAAATATGATGACTTGATTACTTTTCTCAGGTTGTTTATGTTACAATGCACCCTTAAAGGAGGGTTTTTCTCCCATGGATGTGGGTGCTAACTCATATATGACAATGAGTATATAAAATTTTCAGTTGAATGAGAAATCCCTGCTCCCTTTGGGACTGAAAGTGTTAATAAAATATTTGCATATTTCAATCTGATAGTAAATATTAATGCAGTTTTATGTGTATTCAGGCATGTTTGGGTGTGTGTGTATATGCAAATGTACACACATTTGTGAACAACTTTTTTCTAAAAGCTGTGCAGAAAACTTTGATCACAGTGTCTGTAATATAAAAAGGTTCAAACGTATGGTTTAGCAAATTTTGGTACATCTGCCACATGGTGTAACATGATGAAGTCATTCCCAATGATAAGGCTTAGGTGAGTTTTAGTGTGGGAGAGGAGGCAAGGTTAAAACAGTATATGTGGGGAAAATGTACCATGTGGTATGGTACCAAAGGATTTAAGAAAGTACTATAAAATTAGCAGGGATTGGGTAGTGGGGAAATAGATGGTTTCAATTAAAATGTTTTCTATACATAACTGAAAACACTTCCTACTTTGTCCTAAGGGAAAGGAATTTGGGGTCAGGATGTCCAGGGTGCCAATATGTTTCCACCAGATTTCCTTGGTCTTTAAGGCAGTTGACAGAGCAAGTGATACAATATAACAGTTTGTCGACAGTATTTGAAGACATCTTTCAGAATTTTTGTGTTGGAAATGAAATTTAATCAATTTTAAATGAAATATCTGAAATAACTCGAGTAACATTTCAGAAAATGTTATAAGGAGTGAAAAATGCAGCAGACTTATGCTTTCAGGTGCTACTAGAAATAATTTCACTTCTTTTTTGCATCATGTATGGCTTTAATTCCCCCACCCCACTGTCATTTCAGAAATGCCAACCATTTCTGAAGGAGATTAAAGTGACCATAAGTACCATGTGTTTCTTTGGTTTTGTTTTTACAAAGAATGTCAAGCTCTGCTCTCCCCTGCCACATTTACACTAATTGTTAAACGTGCATCTCTGAACTTAGCAGGTAACCTAATATAACTATACTATTAAGTACCTACCAGGGTGTTCAGTGTCAACGTCACTGTCACTCGACATGGAGCAAAGACTGGTTGAGAGAAACAGATCGTGCTTATAGAGGAGTACATAAAGGAAAGACCATTAATTGGTTTATTTTCAGTAGTTTTTGATCTTATTATCTTAGGTTCTTTTTGAGATTTTGATGATAGCTGTGGATTTTTTCCATTAAAAAGTTGGGCAGAGTAATGTATTAAAAATATTTGGGAATTTATAACCCCCAAGCCCCTTTTCCTCTCTCCTTTCACACATGTACTCTAATTCTTTCCATGAACCTCATTTTCATAATCCCTTTCCCTGTATTCTAACAACTGTTCCTTGAATTAAGCCAACCAGACCTTCAGAAAGTTATAACCTTTGCACCACATTCAGATTTGCCTTCTGTGGAGTTATTTACTGAAGTCAATAAATTTTGTATTTATTTTTGATAACGTGCTTGAATTGTTGAATCATTTCATGTTGATGATGATGGTAAGAAACTGGCCTGTGAAATGTGTCACAGTATTTGCTGTGAGAAGTTTGTTAAAGGTGTTGATTCTTTGTTTCATCATTTGGCAAATATTTGAGTAGCTTCTGTGTACCACGTAGACTCTAGAAAGCTACTCAAGGAGTCTAGGCTCTATGGAAGCAAGTACTGGGAACATCTGAACCTGTCTAGGAAGCATCAAGAAAGATTTCATGAAGGATCAGCAAAAGTTAGCTAAGTAAAGAGGGTAGGAAAGGGGATTGAAGGTTGGAGGGGAAAGATCCAGAGGACAAGAGAGGAATGGTTAGAAATTTGGAGTGTATGATGGGCTGGGTGAAAGAAAGGGAGAACTTCAGAGATGATTTCCAGGATACATATGGGCCATACATTTTGTAACCATAAGCCCTACTCTGTCTGGCAAACGTGGAGGATTTGATGGCTACGTTTTACCTGTTAACTTCTGTCCTAACTCCATTTGGTATGCTGCTTGTTTTCTCTCTGCGTCATTTTCCTCATAAGTGTTCAGTCTGATGTATCTTGCTATATTGTATGTCTGTTTTTGAAATGTAAATCATTTTAGCTGCACATTGATTGGGGTACACAAAATCAAACTGACAATTTCAGAAATCCCTTTTTTCCAAATTGTTATAGTTTGTCAATGAAATATATGCCTTAGTATTTATAATAAATGGCTCTCTATTTAATTAAAAAGTTAAAGGGAGGAAAGAGAGACAGGAGTCCAACCATAAAATTATGCAGAAAATGCTTTTTATAAAAAAATAAATGTTTGCCTGTGAGACGAAGGCTTGATATAGTTTTAGTTTTAAGGAGCCTGCATACGCTGTTGGATTCATGAAGCCAGTTCTAGAAGATGCAGGAAGTAAGGCCTAGGCTATGTTTCAAAATCATCCTAAATTATTCTAAAGTTGTAAGCTGAGCTTTGGCCTAATTTCTTAAGTGTCTATAAGGTTGTCTGCCTGTAGCTTTGAGACGAACAGTGTTCCTAAAGCCCTTTGTTATGTGGCTTCACTTTCGGGCTGGTTCCTCTAAGCTATCTTACCTAATCTTTACTGATGATGATGAAACGGAGGAATCTAAATTAGGCAATTACTGTGTTTGCAGTAGAAATAGATAGGGTAGTAAGAAGGTATCTAAGAAACAATATTACATGATTTTTAGGAAGGTAAGAAAATACAAAAATTTCATTATCCTATATTCTCAATTTACAGAGCCTGCATTGATTCGAATGAGGATGGGGAGTTGAGTAAATCGACTGTGTTGAGAAACTATAAAGAAGCCCAAGAATATGGCACTTTTGGCACAGCTGAGATGTTGAATTATTCCGTTAATATATATGATGATGGAAACCTGCTCTCTATTGTGACCAGCGGAGGTATTGTTTCACATTTGCTAATTAGAGATAAACTTAGAAAGTGCAAGATGATAAATCTCTATAGCCAAAAGCAGCCTTAAAGATAATTTAATCTGGAGATTCCAACTAAAGAACAAGGTCTGGAATAACAAATGTGATTTGATTCCTGGCAAGGTGTTGCTTTTTTAAACTCGAGATCATATAGGATGCAGTCCAAGAGTACAAGTGTGGTCCAACCACAAAACATCATCAACATAATTTATCTTATGAACAGTAATTTTACTTTCAAATATTAACCCTTGAGAAATTCCAACTTTTTCGAAATTACACAGAATGTTATAGTGAGGATGTTTTTATTTGACTGTTTGCACTCTTGGGTAAAACTATCTAAATACCTGTCAACAAAATAATAGGTTTTTCTAAAAATTGTGTATTGCTACTGTGGAATATTTTACAGTAATCAAAATGAATAAATCTATATATACCTATATTCATAAATCTCAAATACAGAGATTTTCTTAAAATATATTGATGATAAAACATTTGTGTAAAATTGTAAAACATGCCAAATAATACTATACAGTGTTTATGGATATGTGTTTGTATTGTAAAAATATAGATGGGAACAATATACACACCAGCTTCTGGATAGTGGTGATTCCTGGTGAGGGAGCAAAGAGAAAGAAGTAGGGAGGCTTTATTGCTCCCTCCCCTCATTTATTGAGACATAACTGAAGTGCAGTAAACTGCGTGATATATACATATATGCAATTTGATAAGTTTCACTAGATGTGTATACCCAGGAAACAATTGCCACAGTCAAGATAATGAACATAACTCATCACTCAGTCAGATTTGCTTGTCTTCTTTGGTAACCCAGCCCTGTCTCCACCCGCATCCTCAGGTGGCCACTGAACTGCCTTCTGTCACTTTAGATTGTTATGCATTTTCTAGAATTTTATATGAGTAATAAAAAATATGGGGTGGTTTTGCCTGCCTTATTTCAGAATAGCGGTTTGAAATTCATCCATACTATGATTATAAATAGCTCATTCTTTATTGGTGAGTAGTATTTCATCATGTGGATACACTATGGTTTGTTTATCCGTTCACTTATTGATGGACATTTGGATTTTCCAACATTTGTGTACCAGTCTCTGTGTGGAAACATGTTTTTGTTTAATTTGGACTGATATCTAGGAGAACTGGTTAGTTATGGTAGGTATACATTTAACTTTTTAAGACACTTCCAAGCTGTTTGCCACAGTGGCTGTAGCTTTCTGCATTCCACCAGCAGTGAGTGCTCCAGGAGCGCCACATTCTTGTCCACACAGGTGGGGTCAGTCTGCTTAATTTTAGCCACTCAAACTGGTAGGTGGTAGGGACAGGGTTTTATTTTTGGTGGGGGGGAATTAAATGAAAACCCAGCTTTCCTGGATTTTTGGAAAAAGTAAGAAAGGAAGCATTGGTAACATTGGGTCCATAGTCTTATGTGCCAACAGTTGTCTAGAGCAGAGGAGTCTCAACATTGCAGCAGACGCAGTGAGAAGGGTCATGTGCTCTCATTCTTCTTGGAGCTGCAACTACTCTGGTGTCACCCAGACATGAAGGCCCAATGCCAGTTGTCATTTATAATTGAGCTAGTATTATTGTGTATCTGACAGTAGTGGGGTATTTCTCTCTACCCATGTCTTTTAAGAAACTTTTTCACTTTAAAGAAAGGGGGATCCAATTTCTTTTTAGTTTTTGTTTTACTTGATTGCTATATGACATATATAGTGAAAACTATGCAAATCACAAATTGTACATGCATTGAATTACCACGTAATGGTCGCTTCTGTATAACAACCAGCCAGGTCAAGAAATAAAATATTGGGCTGGCCAAGTGGCGTGTTGGTTAAGTGTTGGCTTGGGATGCCAGCTCTGAGCAGCAGGGCCCGGTTCAGATCCCACATGAGGGCCAGTGATGTTGCGCCCTCTATAGATAAGATGGTGAACAACAGCTCAACCTGGAGCTGGGCTGCTGTGAGTCACCGGCAACGGCGTAGGCTGCAGTGGGGCTGGCTGGCAGCGGGCGTGAGCTTTCGGGAGCTGCCGTGAGCGGCTGTGAATGGCTGTCCAATGGCCAGTGAGCAACTGCCTCACCCGGGAAGAGCTCAATGATAATACCAACATGGGCCAGTGAAGTAACGTCCTCCACAACTAGACTGAAGAACAAAAGGACAGCAACTGTCTGTTCCCCTTCCCCAATTCCCCAATAAAATCTTTTTTTAAAAAAAATAAATAAAGTTAAAATATTGTCAGAGCTCCCATAATGTCACTTCCTAACCACCAGCTTACACTCTGCTCCCAAAGTTAACTGTCCTTATTTCTATCAGCACATTAGTTTGAGCTATCTGGTATTCCTGTTTTTGTAGGTAAATGATTGGATGGTGGTAATTGCAAATGGTTCAACCCAATACAGTGTTTTTCCATTTATATAAGTGGGATTATTTAATATATATCCTTTCGTGTGTGACTTCTTTAGATCAACCTTATTTCTGTGTACTTTATTTCATAGTGTATAGAAATGGTTCATATGGCTGTATGATACTCAATTCTGTGAATACACTGTGTATTCATTTACTATTGATGGATCTTTGGGTTTCAAGTTTTTGAATTTTACAAATAATGCTGCCATGAACTTTTTTACATGTCTCTTAGTGTATGTGTGTACACATTTATGTTGGGTGTATATAGCTAGAGGTAGAATTGCTAGCTAGATCATAGGGTTTGCCTATGTTCAGCTTTCCAAAATGCTGGTCTCTCCTACCAGCAATGTACGTGCACATCCCCACCCACAGTTGTTGTCTACCTTCACCTTAAAGTTTTAGCCATTCAGAAAGGTATGTAGAGGCATGTCATTGTGGCTTTCATTTGCATTTCCCAGATAGCCTAATGAAGTTGAACATCTTTTCATATATTTATGCGCCATTTGGTTATTTTCTTTTGTGAAATGTTTTTTCAAGTGTACCCATTTTTCTTTTGGGCTTTCTTCTGTTGGATTTAAAAGATTACATTCTGGATATAAGGTCTTGGTCAGTTATGTATATTTCAGATACTTTCTCACTCTTGTGACTTGCATTTTTTGACTTGCATTTTTTGCACTTAGTGAACAGGGTAGAATCCAGGGTAGCAGAATAGTGTGTGGAGTTCATACAGTTTCATTTTTTGTGAATTATTGATAAAAGAACTAAGAATATATTATTAGATATTAAGATGAGAATATATTTTTATTTGATTATTTTTATCATGATTAAGAACATGCACTTTGAGTTGAATGGCTGAAACTTTGAATCTGTGGTACTGTTTGTCATATTCCCCTCTTTTTGCCTTTAGGTGCTCATGGGACACACGTAGGTAGTATAGCTGCTGGGCATTTTCCCGAAGAGCCTGAACGGAACGGGGTAGCTCCTGGTGCCCAGATTCTTTCAATCAAGATTGGCGATACCAGACTGAGCACAATGGAAACAGGCACAGGCCTTATAAGGGCTGTGAGTATTTGTGAGGTGTTGACTTAGAAGATTAATGATTGATATTCTTGGATATTTTTAGATTTATAAAGTGCTCTGAGTGTACCAAGAACATGCCAAACTGTATTGGGGTGCAGGATTTTGTTTTTAAAAGCGAAAATAACATAGTTCATTCAACTGTTTTTATTAAAAATAATGAGGCTAAAGTTGTTTGGAAGATATGAAAATATTATGTATACTGTATTTCTCATTTCTAGTAAACCCCCTAGCAAGCTATTTTGAGATACGTATTTTAAAAAAACAACAAAAATGCCCTCTTACCTTGCTCCATCAGCCTAAGAATTATTTAACTAATATTCTACATTTCATTTTAATGTGAATTTTATTTTACTTTAACTTTAGTGGTTTTAGAATTTAGTAAGAACCATCTAATTTCCTCTTCCTGTTCCCCACTCCATTCTGCAAATGTTAGTTTTGATTTTTTATTGGCTACATACTAGACTGTCTCCCCCTACCTTTTTTTTTTTTTTTAAATTTATTAACCATATGCCTGGAAGTAACTTATATATTTGGATTTAAATTAGAATATAATGGTTTAAGAAACTATGGAATTCCATACCTTTATTTTTCTGGACAATCTGTTTCTGTAAATTGCTGCCTAAATTAGACTCTTCATCTTTTTAATAGATGATAGAAGTTATAAATCATAAGTGTGATCTTGTGAACTATAGCTATGGAGAAGCAACTCACTGGCCAAATTCTGGGTAAGTGTTCTTTGACACTTCGAAGAGTATGAAATGCTTTTCATAACTGGATTGAGTATCACAACTGAAAAAGAGCTCCCTAGACACCCCCCCACCCCCAAAGTTCCCATGGTCACATCTTTGATGTCCTTATTTTCTCCTAGCCAGGTAGAACCCCACGGCCCATCATTACTAGAATTCCTCATCCACAAGCAGCCTGAACTCTTCCTTGCAGAAACCCTTTCGTTTCCCTTCAGTGGCCCACACCTCATCTGCCCTACTTTGCTGGAGAAGCACACTTTAAGTTTATGACCACAAATCTCTGATGTTTACACAGCCTTGTCTTTGATCACACTACCTTTAATTTACCCTTTCACTCCTACTTGATCATTTTACACCTTTTCTCGTCAGAGACCTTCCCTTTCTTCCCTCAGCTGACCCTCACCTCTCTTTCCCAGAGAGAATAAAGCACTCATCAGGGGACTTTGTGCCCTTCCTATGACCTACTCTGACCCCACCTTCTCAGCCTGGGTAATGAAAGAAGTGCCGGTTTCAAAGTCAGTCAGGCACTTGCAGCCTGCTTCCATTCCCCTCTTTTTTGGATTACTGTCCATCACTACGTAGATATGCTCTAGAGTCTGCTAGCTTTAAAACAGACACAAAACCATTTCACATTGCCTTCACTCACTCATCCAGGAAAACGTGGTTGTGCAGATTCACCTTTCCCAGGCCTCAGTCCATCTCGTCGCGTCACACACCTACCCCTTCCTCCCTGTGTGTGGGGTCTTCCTGCTGCCAAACCCGGTCGCTGAGTCTTGACCTTATGTTACCTCACCTTTTTTTCTTCACAGTAATAATTTTGAAATTACCTCGCTTAGAGTATTTACTCATTGATCTTCCCCTCCCACCACCAAGCCACCCATATATACCCATCATCCAGTTTCTGAAACCCTTTAATGAAAGTTCTTCCAAATGCACATTTACCAAGCCAGACCCTGGAGTTTGCTGTTATCAAATAACTTAATTTCCCCAGATACCTGGTACTTCTAGGTTCCTTGTGACACATCCCTTTCTTCCCTCGTAACAAGCACCCTGTCATCCTCAGTCATTTATTCATGAACCTAATTCTTTGCTCAGTATCTTATTTACCTAAGTGTATTTCTCTCCTTATTTGCTGTTCATCTGTTTAAAGTCATCTTTTTCTAATCCTTTTTCACACTTAAAACTTTGGAGTGTCCTTGGTCCTATACCTTTTTTATATTGACACCATTTTATTCACAGTCTAACTTCATCTGTTTTAATTAATACCAGTACATTTTTATTGTTTGCTATCAAGCTCTAACCAGATTTCTTATATTTTAAATCTTACTCTTAAGTTCTCCCTGGTTCCTTGTTTCCCCTTCACCTTTGTCACTAGTCACACATAAGTATAGGAATCCCTTGAGGAGTCATTTCTGAATATCTTGTTTTAAGTGGGAATGGAAGTGAAACCACCTATTGCCCCACTACTCAATCACTGCTAATATGTCAGTACTTGGCTTTCAGTCCTGTTGTAGTTTTCCCCACATTCAATTTTGTATCTAGCATTTTCCCATGTTTAACCTGGCCTTGTAACTTCTTCCTAACACTAAAACCCAAGTAGGGCATATCACCTGGAATAGCTGTATCATGTTCCACCGGTGGTGGATGGAGCCTAAATTTACTTAACCATACATTTAAACAATATTTTGTTATTATAAATACTTTGGGAATAGAGGCTAAGCATTTATAGTTTGAGAATGTCCCCTGAATGAGTCTATAATAATGCACACCTCTTTGCTTATAGCCACTGTCTTAGTTCTACTACTTGGGAACCATATTTTAGGGGTTTTTTTTATATACATAAATCATATTTGAAAATATTTTCACACTATAATAATATAGTTCTTAAATAGTGGGGCAATTTTTTATGTTCAAAGGAATTCTTTCTCTTTCAGGAGAATTTGTGAAGTAATTAATGAAGCAGTGTGGAAGCATAATATAATTTATGTTTCAAGTGCTGGAAATAATGGTCCATGCCTTTCTACAGTTGGTTGTCCAGGTGGAACTACGTCAAGTGTAATAGGTTAGTTTCCTGTTTTAGAAATGGACTTGTTTAAAAATAGACGAAAAAAACTCAAGTTAATCCAGTGTTGATTGGATCTTTACTACATGCAAGACACCATAAACCTTAAGTACACCCTCAGGAAACTGACATCTAGTAGTGACCTGCTGATCTGGAAGTTACTGTAAAATAGACTGGAGTAAGTGGTTTAATGGAAGCACACATGCAGTGCTGCAGGATTATAAAAGTGCAGCTGCTTCTGATTTGAGAATTTAGGTAAGACTTCTGGAAGAAGTGTGGAAATGAGGATTTCAGTAGGTAGAAATGAGCAAGGAAAGGGCTTCCCAGACTTCATTGAGCAACATAAATAAAGACACTTTACTTTTTATTTATAGTATAGTTTTCTCCTTTAATTTCTCTTGGGACATGCAGAAAGAGTCAGATGTAGAGGAAGGGAGCTTTAATGAGAAAAGCAGTTAAAACACATTTGTTCCATGCACTTTCTTACACTTTTTGGTCTTTGATATAATGCACTGTGGTCTGTCCCACTGTAAACTAATGGAAAAATGCCCATCAACAAGAGTTATGGGAAATCAAAATTAGTTGCAGTCATAATATGAAAATAATAAAATTAGCATACATTGTAGTTCCATAGCTGCCAACTTGTTAGAAAAAAACCACAAAACACAAAACCTACCCCCTGTTTTTTTAATGTTCAGAATGAATGAGGAGGGTGAAATGAGAGAAGTACATAGTAAATGATACCTAAAATCTTTTTGTTTAGTTTTAAATATGAGATCAAAATAGGGATTATACCTCTTAACATATGTGATTGGATGTATGACTAAAAATTCTTCGGTCCCAATTTTTCTGCAGTGTACATCAGTAACTGCATAGATATATACATATTATACATGTTATGGGTATATAGATAGATACTATAGATGTTTTGTATATGTAATAACATTTGGGTATTAAAGTTTAGAAACTGGCCCTTTAAAATTTTTTTTGTTTTAACTATGATATGTTTATAGGACATGCTTTTATTTTTAGCTTCTAAATTTTAAGCAAGGTATAGCTTATTTTATGTAATTTAAAACCTCTTGCCTAAGTAATTCTGTTATATCATGTGATAAGACAACAGTGCCTACCAGTGATACATACATTGTGTATTTCAGCTCTCTAAATATTTTAAGTACACAAATGAAAATGAAACAAAATAGATCTGAAAGGTACCTAAAGATCAGAATTTACTACTCTACTTTAATACTCAGTGCTTTTTCATTTTCTTATGTCCATGTTCTCTGAAAATTTTAAACTAAATTTTACAAAATGATTGTAGCTTAATGTGGCAGCGTTGTTAACCTAAATCCTCTTAACTCACGCATTTTTATCCAGTCTTCTACTCTGAATATGTGTGTGTTATAAAGAAGAATTAGAAGCTGGTGGACTTGGAATCTTAATCTCTTTTGTCTGCCAATCATACATGTGCATCTTGTACATTTTCAACCACATTTATAAAATGAAAGAACCAACTTTGATCTCTATATTATATTTCAGAGCCTAACTAGACTGCATTTGCATATTTATCTGGAAGACGGTAGCATGTTATGTCTTTGTTTTTTTGCTCATTATTATAGCCTTTGTCGAGGAGTGGAGTACTGCCAAGTTTATGGGTAGAATTTTGGATACAGTGGTCATTTAAAAATGACCAGTAAGCTAATTCCCTTATTTTTCTAATGTTATATTTTATAGTTTAAAACAGATTATTCTTTTTCTTTTACATCTACACATACTTTAAGTACATTATTACGTTTAATCCACATAATAATCCTGATAGATGTTTTTTATATCCAAAAGCAAGGCATGTAGTATAATTATATAATGTATGGTACATAGTAAACTTTACTTGGTTAAGTTTTGTTTACCTTTCCATTTTATGAGAGAGAGCCGTGGCATAGGGAGATCAAGCAACTTACCCAAGTCCACACAGCCACGTGAATACTGGATTAGAATTAGGATTTATTTTTATGTCCTTTTGTTAATGGTAAAATCCATCCCACAGGTGTTGGTGCTTATGTTTCTCCTGACATGATGGTTGCTGAGTATTCTCTGAGAGAGAAATTACCTGCAAATCAATATACGTGGTCTTCTAGAGGCCCCAGGTAGGTTGATAGTAGGACTTGGGGACTATTAGAAATATTTGGTTTAACTTTACATGGTGGGCGGTGGTGGGGAGTTGGGTGGGGATTGTAGAGTTTTGGTAACTTTATCAATTGTTTCTATTAGTTTTTACTTCTCCAGCATTTTCATTTTGATTACTAGTCTCATCTCAGGCAAACTGATAATTAAAGAAGAAATAGTCATTTCATTGTTGGATGTATGACATAACTAAGCTCTGAATGTAAAGCTTAGGTCTGTGCCCCAAGTCCTTTTTTGAGGATCTAAAGAAATAAGGACTTCATTATCTTTAGAAACATAAGTCTTTTTTGCAATACTTTCGACATTTGAGCTTGGGTGAAACAAAAGCCCTAAGCTTTTGTAAAGCATCACAGTTAGAGGCCTGCATACCAGTGAACAATTTTGAGTACAATCCATAGCAGTTAAGTTCTGGTTGATAAATGAAGCTCATCTATTTTGGTTCCCTGAAGTCCTCTGAACTATATTTATCTGATTCCAGGGACTGATTATTTTTCTCAAGAGCTATATTAAGTCCTAATTTATATAATCCCTCATTATGACATCAGTGGGTACAGACATTTGCTTGAAAATAAAGCCTATTTTAATTCATCCCTTTACCTTTCTTTGGAGTTATTTTTTAAAGAGAATATATTTTGAATTCAGTTCAGCAAGTACCTTGTTGTCCACAGTAGGCAAGGCATAAATGAGCAGGTTGTGATCTGAATTCACAATTCCATTTTAGGACAATGGCATTATGTAGGTGGAAGCAATCATTTCCCTTTGAGCAGAACCCCTCAAGGAGGAAATGATATTGGAGTTGGCCTTGAAGGATGGATGGGATTTTGAGAGAGAGGAAGGGAGGTTTATATGGCAAGAATAGGATGAACCCAAAGATAAGCAGGCATTAATGTAAGGTTTGGGGAGAAATAACTAGGAGTTGGGTTTGTCTGCAGAATAAAATACATAAAGGGAATATTAGAAGGTAAGATTAGAAAAATTGGTTGAGATAAAATCAAATGTGGTAATGCTAAATTTAATCCTCTTGAGTTAAAGGCATCTTCCTAGCCTTCTCTAGGTAATTTCTTCTTTAAAAAGTAAACTTAGTAGTTTATTATAACTTATTGAAAGAAATCAGGCTGTAGATCTCCATGTGGTTCAGCAAGCTTTGCCTATATCACCACCAGAGATTGCCCTCATCAGCCTAAGTAACTGGCCTAACACTCCGCATCATTGAATCAGAGTGGCTAGGAATAAGAGGCAAAGTTGGCAAAGGTTTATGTGTTTTATATTCAGTTAATCAATGTATTGATTATTAACATGTTAATTCTCTTCTAGAATTGATTTCTAAATGTTGTTTTTATCTTACAGTCAGTATAAAACAAAGTACTAGAAAATGTTTAAAGCAGCCTTTGTCAGTCTTATTTGCCTAAAGAACATTTAAAAAATTAAGAAAACAAGTTCATGAATTATGGGGGAAGCTTGGATTAAGGAGATATGATTCACAAACCAGTTTTTCTAAGAATTGAGAGAATTTGTTTCATGTTTACTATACTATAAACATTGAATATTATTGCAAATACGTGGTTAATTATTAGACTGAGTATGAAATACAAAGTACTGACTAATGATCACTGAATGAGTATATTCTATGGTACTATTTAAAAAATTCTCTTTGTCAGGAAAGACTGTCAGACAAAGAATTTACTTGGTTTCTTGGGGTGTATTTCTTAAAGGCAGATTACTAAATGTCTACATGTTTTAAATTTATCTTATATATTGTATTTTTGAAGAAAAATATCACTAGCTTTTTTATTTTAAGGAAACATACTTATAATATTTATATAAGGTTTTTATAAGGAATATATAAGGTTTATAGTAGGAAAATTTTATTTTTTCATTTTAATAAAGTATTTTCACGTACGTTTCATGGAACCCATTTTTAGAACACCAATTAAATGCTTTACGATTAGCCACTTGAACAGACTATTGGAAAATTAATTGAGAGCAATAAGAAATAGTTAGAATTCATGACTCTTCCCAATTGTTTTTTCCATTTATTCTAATTTAAACTTGGTAGACAACAAAGATGGTGTGAAGAAGAAATTAAAAACTACCTTAAATCTCATTATCTGTGATATGTTCGGGTGACATTTTGATGAACATCCTTTTAAGTCATTCTGTGTATAAATGGGAGAGCAGGCAGTTTTGTAAACTACTTTTGTCACTCGATAATGCTGTATAAAAATCTTTACAGGTCAACAGATATTTATCTAACAATGTTTATTTTACGATACCCATTAAAAGGAGTGCCACTAGCCCATTTCAGGTGGAAGATATATGATTTGCATTGCTTTTAGCTACCTATGTAAAAATGTGAAACCAAATTGTACTAGTATTTCTAGCCAGAAATAAAAATAATTCACTCAGTTGAGGGAAGAACGGTAGAAGGGAGAGGCCAGCATCCTCTGTGGGGAATTTATGGCCACCCTTCCAGGTAGGAGGAAGTATTGTATTATTACATTATTCCTTTACTTGGAGCAGGGGGCAGAGTTTGTGTTTGGTGGTGATGCGGTGATGAATTCTACAGATTTTAGCTCATTAGACCTTACTTAGCCAAAGCCCTCAATGAGGCAGCCCTGTTGACTTAAGCTGTCTAGTATGACAGCTACTAATCACATGAGGTTAGTATGAGTTGAGATGTGCTGTGAGTGTGAGATACACACCAAATTTTAAAAAGATTTAGTACAAAAAAGAATATAAATTAACTCATTTTTTTCCTTTCAATTACATGTTAAAATTTTATTTTATATATATTGGGTTAAATATATTATTAAAATTAATTTTATGAGTGTCTTGTTAGCTTTTTTTTTTTTAAGCTGAGCCATCCTGCCGCCTATTGGCAGCTCAGCGGCTGCTCAGCTTGGGCCGGGACTCAAACTGCTGTTGCTCAGAGCTCGCACTTTTGAGTGAGCTCTTAACCAACTGAGCCACTCGGCCGGCCCCTTGTTAGCTTTTTTTAATACAGCTTTTAGAAAATTTAAAATGACATATGTGTCCCACATATTTCTATTGGACAGTGATATATTAAACTTCAGACAAAAGCAAAGCTTCTACTTATTATGGATAAGAGGAAGGTATATTCATCAAGGATTCTGAGCAGTGACGATCATTTACTTTTCCTCTATAAATATACCTGATACCTTTTACTTATAAGCCCAGATACATACACACACACACAGATTTTGTCACCTTAGACGGAAAAAAAAAATGCTGCTTAACCGGGAAATGGTTGTGCTGAGTATTTTTCCCCGTTGATTCCAATGACTGCAAATAGTCCATGGTACTGTACTGTAATTTATTTGACCAGTGGGCTTTTTATGAATGCCAGTTTCCACCACTGTAAGCACACTAATGGCTTTTCATTCAGTGCTGACGGGGCCCTTGGAGTGAGCATCAGCGCACCGGGAGGAGCCATTGCTTCTGTTCCTAACTGGACTTTGAGGGGAACTCAGCTAATGAACGGGACATCTATGTCTTCTCCCAATGCGTGTGGAGGCATCGCCCTGATACTTTCAGGTGAGCACATTGCCAATTGCTCTGTACTGTTTGGTGTTCTGCATGGTACTATTTCTAAATTTCCAGTAAAGTGATGGTGAATTTGGGGTTATTCTGCATATATTTCAATCACAACTTAATTTCTTTTTTCTTTTTTTTAAAAAGATTTTATTGGGAAATTGGGGGAGGGGAACAGTGTTGGGGAATTGGGGAAGGGGAACAGACAAGTTGCTGTCTATTTTGTTCTTCAGTCTAGTTGTGGAGGATGTCACTTCACTGGCTCATGTTGGTATTATCGTTGTGCTCTTCCCGGGTGAGGCAGATCAGTCACCGGCACTGGACGGCCACTCACAGTGGCCCTTGGCAGCTCACACCGGCTGCCGGCCACTTATGGTAGCTTACGGGAGCCCACTGTAGCCTACGCTGTCACCGGCGACTCATGGCAGCCCAGCTCCAGGTCAAGCTGTTGTTCATCATCTTAGCTGTAGAGGGCATTGTCACTGGCCCTCGTGTGGGATCCGAACCAGGGCCCTGCTGCTCGGAGCTGGCGTCCCAAGCCAACTCTTTAAAGATTTTTTTTTTATTGGGGAATTGGGGGGATGGGAACAGTGCTGGGGAATTGGGGGAAGGGGAACAGACAAGTTGCTGTCGTTTTGTTCTTCAATCTAGTTGTGGAGGATGTTGCTTCACTGGCCCAAGTTGGCCAAGCCAACTCTTAACCAACGCACCACTTGGCTGGCCCATTAATTACTTTTCTTAATGAGATAGACATGGCATTATAAAACAGATTTTATTTTTATGTTTTTGTTTTTTATTATTTTATTTATTACTTTTATTATTATTATTATTAGTTTCAGGTGTACAAAACAATGCAATAGTTATACTTTTCACCCCTCACAAAGAGACAACCCCCTTTCCCCATCCACTGCCCCCCAACCCCCAATATCATACATATCACAATTCTATTGACTCCATTCCCACACTATACTCCACATCCCGTAACTATATATGTATTAAATTATAGTTGACATATAATATTATTCAGTGACAGCTTCAGATGTACAGTGTAGTGGTCAGGCCTCTACACCACCCATGGAAGTGGTCTCCCTAACAAGACATGAGACCATCTGGCCCCCTAAAAAATATTTACAACAGTATTGATTATATTTCCCAAACTGTCTTTTCTATCCCTGAGGCAATATTGTAGTTACCAATTTATGTTGTCTCGTCCCTTCCCCTTTTCCCTCATATAAAATAGATTTTAAATGTGTCATTTTATAATTTACTTAGTCCTGGTTGTAAAATCTATAATTTATTTATAAGGTTATATAAGTAGGTGTTAAGGATTTTGACAATTTTATGTTTATATCATAAAGTTAGATAGTAGCTGTAAAAATAATTAAATAAATTGATCTTACCATATTGCAGACAGATGTTTTTGTTTTCTAAAATTCCCATGGTGAGAAAATGTGATAGAATTGGTAATATCCTGGTTCAAAGAAAAGTTTAAGGTGGAGAATAATTTATGTGATAATAAGATTTGGATGTGTATTCATTCGTTCAACAAATATACTTATTGGCTGTTAACAACTGTCAAACATTTTAGCTCTGGGGCTAAATTAGTGAACAAAACATCAAAAATATCTGTGTATATTACAGTTGAGAGAGACAGACTACAAACAAAATAGGAAATAGTTTATGTTACATGTTAGAAGTTAATGAATGTTGTTATGGAGCAAAATGAAGTGTAAAGGGAGGGAGGAATTTCTAGGGTGGTGTGGAGGGGAGGAGGCTGACAGCATAAATAAGATGGCATCAGCATCGAGTGGGACTCACAGGGTAGCCAGAATGTCATGACACTTCCACCAGAAGTCTCTCTCTTCAGCTCCGTGGACTCTCCACCCTTGTTTCTAGTCCTGGACAACCTTACCGAATATTTCAAGGCTGCTCATGCCTCTTGTCTTTGGGCATGCCGCTCGCTCTGCCTAGAATTTCTTTCTGCCATTTTTCAGTCTTGCAAATGTCTATGCATTCTAAAGATCCAACTCATGTATCGTTACTCTGATAGAGCTCCACCTGTTTTTGGAGTCTCGCGGACAAAATTGGTCACTTTCTTGATTTGCTCTTACAGCAGCATAATATTTCCTTGTTTGTTTTGCTCATTTCTTACAATATCATGTTTACATGTTTGATGAGCTCTGGAGAGGACAGGAATGCTGTATCACTCATCTTTTATCTCTAACAACAGCTGTTAATAAAGGGCTTACAGATTGGTGGCCTCCATACCCTGCCCATAGAACAGTCACTCCCAGCCTGGATGTTCCCTGTCAACACCCAGGAAGCTTTAATCCATTCTGGGTCCCTGGAATCCTGTCTCAAAGATGCTGATTTCATTGGTCTGTGATAAGGCCTCATCATCTAGATATTTTGCTTAAGTTCCCCTGTTGTTTATAAAATACAACTGGGTTGAAAACTGCTGCCAATAATCATATTGTTTGGCTAGCAGTGTTCTAAAGAAAATGTCATTCGAATGCCTTTAGGGATCTGTTTCATACATTTGCATTATCTCTGCATAGCCTGCATTCATGCCATAGCATAATAGGCATGCAGTAATTTTTATTAAATGAAGTCTTTGTGTGATGCCAGAATTTTGGTATGGCTGTTCAGTTTTAAAAAAACCAAACAATTAAAAAATGAATGTTAAAGCCCAAGGCATTAAAGCCAGAGAATGTACATGTTGTCTGTACTGGTGAGGGGAAAAAGGTTTGCGCAAGCTCTCTAACAGTTTTTTCTTGATTTTGTTTTTAAATTTTAGGTCTGAAAGCTAATAATGTTAACTACACAGTTCATTCAGTCAGAAGAGCTCTAGAGAACACTGCAGTGAAGGCTGACAATATAGAAGTATTTGCCCAAGGACATGGTATTATTCAGGTATTGTTGTTTGTGTAAAAAATGGTTCGTAAATCACTAGGAAGATAGCTTAGCTACTACTGGATAATGTTTCCTATTCCAACAATTGAGTATATCTGATTCTAGAGTATATGTTTATAGTAGTCTCTGAACTATAAACAAAGAGACTATGAAAACAAATTTTTTAGTTAAGATACATTTGTTGCAATAAGATAGAGAAATATAATAGATACAGGACACGTAAAGGGTAAAATTCAAAGCAAAGAAATAAAGGGCAAAACTTGTAAATCATAATGGCATATGGAAGAGTCCCTAACTTTGGTTACTTGAGAATAACAGTGTGAATAAAGAGAGTCAAGGGGAAGATGAGTACAGTATTTAGACCCGTAATTTATCAAAAAAGGGGAATTGTCCTTTGCATTTTAGAGAGCTAAATATAGAAACTAACTTTTTGCTTGTACTTTGCTACAAGTGAAATCAAATTGGTAACTTGCAATAAAATACATTCTTGACTTAACTTTATATTTTACGGCTTGTATTTTAATTAGGTTGATAAAGCCTATGACTACCTCGTTCAGAATACGTCATTCGCTAATAAATTAGGTTTTACTGTTACTGTTGGAAATAACCGTGGCATCTACCTCCGAGATCCTGTCCAGGTGGCTGCACCTTCAGATCATGGTGTCGGCATTGAACCTGTGTTTCCCGAAAATACTGGTAAGTAATTTAACGGACAGTGAGCTGAAGTGCTCACATGGTTTGAATGAATGGTATCATAATAGAGAAATGCTGTTAGGGCTAATGTTTACAAGAGACAACATGAATTGACAGTATTACCATTTTAAATTTTATAGATTTTAGGAAAAAGGTGATGGCATTTAGGGATCCCAATATAATGGTAGTTCAGTTAGCATCTTGACTACCAAGAAAAACAGTAGAATGGACCTTCATTGACCTTGAGTTTTATAAAACTGTGGATAATAAAACTCATTTCTTTCCCATTTTTACTACTTGTGTATGACACAGAGTTTTCCGTTGGAGAGTGGGAAGTAGAAGCATCTAAGAGACCCTCAGCTCAATGAGATGTAAACAAAATAGCCATCACTTTATATCTAGCAGCCTTTATTTCGGTCTATTGCTGCTATCCTCATGCAGTAATGAAAAATATCCACTAAAACTCCTTATTTTAAGGTTATAACAGTGTAATGTGAAAATGTGAATGGATCTCAAGTGTACAAAGTAAGGAAGATTCTGTGACTTGTATTTAAGCTGTGTTTTAGAAACCTATATCTAGTACATTGTACAACCAGCCAAACAGATTTGTTAAATTTTCTTGAGAGAAGATAGAACTTTGTAAAATGAAAGAAAAGGAAAAGCACTAATCTTCGCTTTTTGGTCTTTTTAATTCCAGAAAACTCTGAAAAAATATCCCTTCAACTTCATTTAGCTTTAACTTCAAATTCATCTTGGGTTCAGTGTCCCAGCCATTTGGAACTCATGAATCAATGTAGACACATAAATATACGTGTGGATCCCAGAGGCTTAAGAGAAGGATTACATTATACAGAGGTATTGGCGTATCTTCATTTTTGCTTTCTTTATTCTTTAAAATGTTTAAAAGACCTTTATGTGGCAGTCCTTTTTCCCATCAGTTTGAATTAGTAAAGAATTGTCCCACATGTATTTGTTTAGGCTGTGCCGCTGATTATGTGACCCATCATCAGAAAATTGATACTAATTTGTGCTTAGGATCTTTAAATTTTAGTATTAGATTAATTTAGTCTGTGAACAGATTATACGTGTTTTTTATGTTAAAAGTTTGTTAATGGATACTGAAACCTAGCATTCTTTCTTTTCAGGTGTGTGGCTATGATATCGCATCCCCTAATGCAGGTCCTCTGTTCAGAGTTCCAATCACTGCAGTTATAGCAGCAAAGTAAGTAACAAGTTAACAATAACCAACAGGTTGCTAGTGCATGTACGGTAACAGTTGACCCTTGAACAACATGGGTTTGAACTGCACACATCCACTTATATCTGGATTTGTTCAATAAGCACCTGTACTATTTTCAGCCTGTGGTTGGGAATCCACAGATGCAGAGGGCCAACTGCACTGACCTGTGCCATTTTACATTGGGGACTTAGCATCTGCAGATTCTGGTGTCCATGGGTTGCCCTGGAACCAATCCCCCTTGTCTACTGAGAGACAACTGAGCTTTGGGGGAGTCAAAAGTTAGACCCACGTTTTTGGCTGTGTGGGGGTTGGCACCCCTAACCATGTTCAAGGGTCAACTGGATATTTTTAATGGCTATTTATTGAAATAATGTGAACTTTTAAAGGATTAATAGGAAAGAACCAGATAACCAGGCTTCTCCTTGCTCAGAGCTGAAGGTGGCGCATAATGAGTCATGCTATTCCTGTTCACTGTGAGAATAAGTGATGGCATCTGTCCTCTGTCCTGCCCTGAGCTGAAACTGCATCCCGCCAGGACGCCGGTGCCATTCTCATTGCCCGATTCGGGGGACATTTTAGCCTTTATCTTGTCCAGGCCTTCTGCAATATTTGACAATATGACTTCACCCCCTTCCATCCCCACTCCATTTTCTTCCCTTGTCTTTAGGGTCACTATTTTCTCCTGGTTCTTCCACTTTTCCATTCACCTGCTACTTCCAGACTCTTTCCTTTCCAGCTTGTCTTCCACCCTGGAAACAAGAAACTCAAATATGTTCATATTGCTTCTTGTTTCAATACATTAGTGACACACCCAAGGATCAAGTTATGCTCCTTAAAATGGCAATGACCCTTCAGAATCCAGTGTTTTCTATCAGTCCATACAGCAAATTACACATTTCCACAAGGTCACCGATGCTGACACTCTGGGTTTTCTCTGGACTGGCTGCATTTGCACAGCTGATTTCTTTGCTTAGTTTCCTGTCTCAACTTAATGAGCAAGCATGTTCCTGGTCATCCCCAGATGAAAGGGAGTCCCTTCTTGCTGCTTCATGACGCTTTCTACATGCCTGTGGTACACTTTAGTGAATATGTTGTCATGTTTAATTTTTTGGCCCATTTGGGAGTCCACTGAAGACACATTGTTCCTATATGGAGCCCATTACATAGTATATACCAAATAAAACAACTTGTCTAGTAGATGAAGGACAAGGTTAGAATTATGAGAGTACTAGAAACAATGGGAAGTTCTAAGTTAACAGTTCCTGTAGAGTTAGTTGCACTGGTAAATATTAAATATGCAATACGTCTCAGCCCATAGGAAACATAGGGTGAAATTGAGATAAGAAGTGGCATACATATGGAAAATTTGCAGAACAGTTAAATTCTCAGCCATGTTTTCTAGCAGTTTAGTAGGAACTTAGACACGGTAATGTGTAAGATTCAGGAAGCAGCTGAAACATCTCCTTCAGGAAGCTTTCCCTGGTCCCTTTGTGTGAACCAAGTCCTCTTCATCTCTTTTCCCCTAATGCTTCCTGTCTACCCAGAGCACATTAATGTTAAACATCTTAGGTGGTTTGTCTGTCCGCATACAGCATAAGAAAATATTCCTTGTTGTATGTAGCTCCTAATAACAGTGGTTCGTATATAGTAGGTACTCATTATGTTTGTGACACTGACTAGAATTTGTCCTTTGCATGTACTTTAGGTTTTTATAGTGGGTAGTTATACATTTGACCTTTATGTTTCATTGACTTTTTACAAAAACGCTATGAAAGTAGTTTGTTTCTTTACTGTGTCATTATGATATGGTAGCATTTTGAAGCCACAAAAGGGGTTTTTATAAGAGCATCACTTATTTAATCATTAATTTTTATTAATTTTCAGAGTAAATGAATCATCACATTATGATCTAGCCTTTACAGATGTCCATTTTAAACCTGGTCAAATTCGAAGACATTTTATTGAGGTTCCTGAGGGTGCAACATGGGCTGGTAAGTAAAATTAAAATCTGTCTTGACCACTGACCACTTACCTTTATGTACATTCCATTTCTTCTCTGATTATGACCATATAAAGTTCATATATCTGTTAATACATGGTTTTCTCATGATAGTGCTGTATGTAGCTGGCATCCTAGATTTGCTATTATTGTAATATTAGGTTTAAAACTATTTAAAGGTCTAGTACTATTTTACTTTGGCTCATATATCTTATCACCTAGCTCATCTTAGATGTTCTAATAGTCAAGATTTTAACTTAGTGTAGAATAATGCCTATCACTAATTAGAGAAAGCTGCATTGTTGGGCCCCTTGGAGTTTTCTAACGTTAGGCTATGATGAAATGTATACACTAAACATAGTTAAAAGTAAAATCTATGGTTAATTAATACTGAATCTGAAATCTTTTTAATGGCAAATGTCAGTAGTTATAATGCCCTAATTATGATTTGTTTAAGTTGATATTGAAAATAGGGTTTTTTTTAATATTTATTTTAAAAAATTTTTTTATTATTTATTTTTATTTTTAAATTTTATTTATTTATTTATTTTTTAGCTGCGCCATCCTGCCATCTTTTGGCAGCTCAGCTGCAGCTCAGCTCGAGCCGGGACTTGAGCCGCTGTTGCTCAGAGCTCACTCTCTTGAGCAAGCTCTTAACCAACTGAGCCACTCAGCTAGCAAAAATAGTTTTGTTTTGTTTTTTAATGAGAATTTATCAGATGATCCAGAGTGGAAGTAGCTCAGTGCATTTAGCAGTCTTAGATTAGAAATGTGTAGAAATGGGTAGAGGATATGGGGAGATGTTGGTCAAAGAGTACAGATTTTAGTTTTGAGTAAAATCAAGGGATCTAATGTCCAGCATGGTGACTGTAGTTAACAAATACAATTTACTAAGAGAGTAGATTTTAAATGTTCTCACCACCCAGAAAATCAGTAACTATGTGAAGTGATGGATGTGTTAACTAATCTTATTGTGGTAAGTATTTCACAATGTATACACATATCAAATTATCGCATTGTATACTGTAAACTTACACAGTGTTATTTTCAGTTATATCTCAGGCTGGAGGTGGGGAAGTCAAAGCAAAAAAAAAAACAGAGAGAAAGTACTACAGATGATTTTTATTTCAAATAATTAGAAATATTGTTATAACGCTAAGTTTTGTATTCTTAGCAATTGATTAGACTCATAGAGCGCTGTGCCAACTTGACCTTGTGAACCAGAGAACTAAGCCTTACTTTAGGTGCCCTATATTAGAGTGGCTATTCAGTAGATAAGCTGCTGATCTTGCTTCCCAGTGATTTGGGCTTATCTCCACCTCTGCTGCAGAATAAAGCTAAGCATACCGTATTTCCCATGTATAAGACACACCCTTTTTCGAAAAATTTGGGGTCTAAAAACTGGGTGCATCTTGTACAGTGGTTGTAGATTTCAAAGCCATAGATGGAACTGAGGACGAGGCAATATATGAAGGCAGTGATTCGTCATCAGACACAGATGCGGACAAGCTAATGGTTGGGAGTTTTGACAGTGATGAGGAATTGTATGAATTTTATGATGAATAAAACTTGAGTTTAGTAACCTTATGTAATACATTTTTTTTCAAATTTCAGGCCCCAAAATTAAGGTGTGTCTTACACATGGGAGCGTCTTATTCATGGGGAAATATGGTATATAGTTCTGACAGTCATACTTTCTAGAAGCAAACAGGACATACATACACAAATCAAGAGGGAGAGACTAGGAAGTTATCGATAAAGTTGAAGAAATAGATAATAATGGAATTAAGAATGATGACAAATAGAGGTTTCTAAAATTAAAATTGTCTTTATTTTATCAGGAATTGTTTGGCTTTTGGCTAAAACAAGAGGAAAGGTTGAGCTTAGCAGAGGAGAGAGGGATTTTAAAAGGTACCTGATTAGGATAATTGTGTGTCTGCCTATGGAAAGCTTGCTGTTTCAGGGTGTTCACAGCATAGTGATTGTTCATTTTAATACTGATTTATTTTTCCGTAGCTCAATTTTTTACCCTTTAAGCTTTATTAATATTTTATTGATTCTTTGTTTTTAAGGAAATATGCATATTTTATTTGAATATATTTCATTTTTGACATATTGTTCTCTATAAAGTAGGCATCATTAAACTATTTTATATCCATTTTAAATCTTGCCAGTTTAAAATTTTGCTTCTTTTTTATTTTAGAAGTTACTGTGTGTTCATGTTCTTCTGAGGTGTCAGCCAAGTTTGTTCTTCACGCAGTACAGCTTGTGAAGCAAAGAGCATATCGAAGCCATGAATTCTATAAGTTTTGTTCCCTTCCAGAAAAAGGAACATTGACTGAAGCTTTTCCTGTCTTAGTAAGTTTTAATTAACAGTTTGAAATCCTAAAATGATTTGTTTTCATTTTTGGTGTGGGCTAAGCATAAGCATTTGAATTTAATTTTATCGTTTATATTCAGAGTTCATTGGAGCTGTATATTTTGTTAATGCTAAATAAATCAAGTAGGAAGATAGGTAGTCTAATGAGGATACTTGAGACTGAGTCCAAGGTAAACATTAATCTTTCTTTAACTCTCATAATTTAGTCAAAGAAGAGTGCTGGGGCAGGCCGAGTGGCTCAGTTGGTTAAGAGCTCGCTCAAGAGTTTGAGCTCTGAGTAACAGCGGTTCGAGTCCTGGCCTGAGCTGAGCAGCCGCTGAGTTGCCAACAGGTGGCAGGATGGCTCAGCTAAAAAAAAAAAAAAGAAATAAGAGTGCTGGTCTGACAGGTACTATTGCCATGCGTTGTGGACCCTGACTGAGACTGTTTCCTACGGTAGATTATTTCCATAATTGAGATTGTTTTCCCATCCTCCAGTAGATTATTTCCTTATTTAAGACTTTTCTACATGTCACTTATTTTATTAATGCACTGTTGTTAAGAATCCATGAGGTTAATTTGTTTTCTAGGTAAACTGCTACTGCTTGCTACCCAAATTACTTCAAATACGGCAGATTTCTATTCTTACCTGTAGTTAGAAATAATGACTAGTCTTTCCTCCATAGAAGGTGACTATACTGATGTTGTTTCTTAAACTTGCTATATTATTTTCAGTTGGTTATATGATCTCTCCTATATCTCTTATGTTTCTGACTACTTTCATTTTTGTTCATGTATGTAACAGTGTTATCATTAGTCTTTAAACTTTCTAGTGTACAGATTACCATAAAACTTAATTTAAAGCTCAGCACTAGGAACGTTTTTTGTTTCTCATTATTTTAATAGGGAGAAAGATACTAAGTGACCATAATTTCATTTCGCTTTCATTACCAGGCAGCTCTGAGCCTGAAACTCAACTGTGGCTATTGAGAATATACCTTGTAAAGCTGTAGGAACCTTACTCTTATCATTATTCTTAATTATTTTTCCTTTGGACCTAGGTTTTTGTTCCAGTTTGTTTTTACCATTATTTTATTGGATAGGTTTTCAAAAACTGCCTCAGATCTTTTATGACAAACAGTGTAGGGTTATGAGTAAATAACTATTTAAATGCCTGCACTATATCTCTGCAACTGTAATTTGCAAAATCCAAGCAGAACTGATAAAAGTTCTTTGAATTGTCTTGCTGTACAAATGGGATAAGTTTGAAAGCATAGAATTGCTTTGAAACACCTATTATTTATACTCTTTATATAATATATAATGTTAGGTAATTTAAAGGACGTTGAGAAAAAGTGTACACATTTATATTTTCTTCTTCTTTGCAGAGTGGGAAAGCAATTGAATTTTGCATTGCCCGTTGGTGGGCAAGTCTTAGTGATGTCAATATTGATTACACCATTTCTTTCCATGGGATAGTGTGTACTGCTCCTCAGTTAAACATTGTGAGTTCCATGTTTTCATTATTTTTAATGTCAGTTATTTGTATTATTGAAAAATAATCTCACTGGTTAGATTTAAACTTCAGTGGGGAAATTACCTGTGTTTCTGAAAATAACAGTCTTTGTTCATGGGTGTTTATAAACTTTGCATTAAACATTTATTTTAGGTCCAAATATTGCTTTAAAATACTGTGTATTTTCAATGAAGTTTGAGACACTAATTTGATAAATGTCTTTCATAGCATGCATCGGAAGGAATCAACCGTTTTGATGTTCAGTCCTCCTTGAAATATGAAGATCTGGCTCCCTGCATAACTTTGAAGAGCTGGGTCCAAACACTACGGTATCATTAAATGTTTTAGGGCTACACTTGTGGAGTATTGATGATGTGGAGGCAAGAGGACCTCTTACACTCTTTGAAGAGAGAGTCATTTTCTTAAATCCATCTCAATGCTGGAGATGTAAATTCGTTTTATGACACTCTAGCCTAGGAATCCTGGCAGGTGTCTGAAAGGTAGCCCCTGCAGCGGCTTCTAGCCTTAAATAATGTGCATATAAAGCCCTCAGTGTGGCACCTGGCAGGACACATCCTGTGATAAGTGAGCACCATCTGCAGTCAAAACCTGTCTGTCTTTCAACGCTATTAGCAATCATCATCCTAACATTGGTACCTGATTATGTTAAGAACTATCAGTTGACATTTGAAAATGTCTTTATTGTGAAGAGGTTACCTTTGTAATATAGCAAAATTTAAACTGTATGTATTGCTGTGGTTCAGTCAGTAAAGAATTATGTAAGTTGATTAAAATATTATAAAATATACTGAAAAGGACAGTGTTTTAGGAGTGCTCATTTATCACTTACTGTGATGTTACAGATTTTGTTGATTATAGTTTTGTTTGTCTCATTAAATGAACTTAAATCAATTATGTAATTGTCTAATTACAGCCCACTTAGTGCAAAAACAAAACCTTTAGGATCAAGAGATGTTTTGCCAAATAATCGTCAACTTTATGAGATGATCCTTACATATAACTTTCATCAAGTAAGTGTCTGTTTAATAAAGTATACCCTTACAGTGAACTGTTGTGTTTTGTTTGTGAATCATAAAATTAGAAATGGAAGGTATATTTAGTATATCTACAAAATAGAATCAAGTAATTAACTGGTTAATTTGAAGTTATTCTTTGGGAAATTATAATTTGTAATGATATAAGTACCATTCAAGTTTGAAGTCACAAATTCTAATTTGTGGTGACCTAGCCTTTGAGCCTTAGTTTTTGTAATCACTGACACCTATTCAGTGGTACCTGCCCAGTGGTCAGATGTCTGATCAGTGCCCGATGCCTACTCATTACAGTAGTAGTGGGCCTGCGCACTTTCTACGAAGCAGGCACCGGAGCAGTGAGACAAAAGAGTAACTCCTAGGTTGAAGGTAAAGGTAGCTGAGGCTAGTGTAAATGGATCAGAGAATTTGCGTAGGATCTGTAAGAATTCAGGAAAACTCATATTGAAGCATATTATGGATTTGGTTTTAATGTTCAAGAGGTGATTGATTTCAGTGAATTGTCAAATTACAATTTTATAAAGTAAAATATATATTGCTTTATTAATGAATACACATAGCTAGGTTTGTATTTTTTAAAGGTACAAAAGAGGAGTACCTTTTATTAGTGCCGAAATACTGAAAGTTCTACAGTTTTAAAATTGGCTACCACAAGAAAATATTTTAATACTTTCAATGTAAAAGTCTCATCAATAACAATATTATAAACCTACTTTAGAAATCATGTAAACCATTTAAGTAATTCTTAATTTTTTTATAGCCCAAGAGCGGGGAAGTAACGCCAAGCTGCCCACTACTTTGTGAATTATTATATGAATCAGAATTTGACAGCCAACTGTGGATTATATTTGACCAAAATAAAAGACAGATGGGTTCGGGCGATGCCTATCCACATCAGGTATAAAATTGGCAGTGATTTTTAGAATTAACAGAAGCTGTTTCCTGAACTAATGAATTCCTGATTTCTTGTTATGGTAATATCGGGTTTTTCTTTTAATGCTGTAGTTTTGCATTTAGTACTTTGACACATCACTAGAAGCTCAGTTGTCTGTTGTAGAACAGACTGGGACAGTGTAGTTTTCAGCCGTGTAGTTCAGCTGAAGTAAATTTTGGGGTAGAGGAGAGCAAGGATGACGTAGACACTGGCCAGCACAGCTTTTATTTTTGGTATTTCTCCTTTCCACTCACTGCTTCTACTCGTCTGAAGGTTGACAGCAAATCATCTGTTATTTGAGCACCTTGAAATGATCCCAGGTCTGAGCTGGATAAAGAGCACTGCAGCAGTGCCAAATGTCTTTACTTTATAGAACTTTCAAATTTATTTCTTCGTGGGATAGCTATGTATGGAGCAACTCACTGTATGCCAAGCAGTGTGCTTGGCACTGTTGTATTGAAAGAAAAAAAACTTATAATTTACAGAAAATTTATCCCTGATTGAAATATTGTTACAAAGAAATGAGGTATTTCCTATAACATTTACAATTTTGTGCTAAATAATGAAAATAACTTATGCGGGGGTTTTTTCAGTTAGTCATTCAAGGAATGATTTCCTTTTTTTCTCAAAGCAAGCCCCAGCCACACCTCTTCAGTACACACTGGGTTATGCAGTGCCATTACTTGGGTTGCTTTTAAAATCTCCTTAGAAGAATTTGCTGATGTAGAATACAGCATCCATTCTCTCGAGCAGTTAGCTAGGTGGAGCATAGTAGATTTGTATTCATGATCTCTATTGGCTCCATTTTTCCTGTGCTCAAGAAAGGGGTGTGATGTTTTGAATATAACAGAGATTACCAGTTATGTGTATACACACATGTATATATCTGTCTTAGATTAAATAGAACCTCAATTTTGCTAATTTTTGGTGTTTTAGACATGTCTCTGAGCGACCATGAACAACAACAAAAAAATCATTGCTTTTTTTCAGTCTGGAGCTTTTTTCAGACTGATTTAGCTGAGAACATGGGAGTTGCCTGTAGTTGTGGGGAAAAGGAGGGCTTGGGAGTCATACCTGCCTTTGGCTTCCTTATCCTTTACTCTGTATGTAACCTTGGACAGTTCACTTGATGTCCGTGGCCTTGCTTGCTCACCTGCACAGTGATATACACAATTGTGTGCATATCATTGTGTGTGTAGCAACTTGCACTGTACCTCACGTACTGTAAGCACTCTGTAAGTGATAACTGTTCCTGTTTATCCTCTTACAATAATTTCTGTTTACTTGGCTAAACTTTATTTTTCACAAATGTTGTTTTTTCTTTTTTAGTATTCCATGAAACTGGAGAAAGGAGATTATACAGTTCGACTACAGATTCGTCATGAGCAAATCAGTGATTTGGAACGTCTTAAAGATCTTCCATTTATTGTTTCTCATAGGTTGTCTAATACCTTGAGCTTAGATATTCACGAAAATCATAGCCTTGCACTTCTAGGAAAGAAGAAATCAAGTAATTTAACACTACCACCCAAATATAACCAGCCATTCTTTGTTACTTCCTTACCTGATGACAAGTAAGCGATAACATTGCTTCCATTTAATGCCCATCTTATACACTGTAGTCTATTGATGCTAGTTTATTATATTAGGCTAAATTTATGATATGTTGTTATTACCATTTTAGACTAAGGTTATTTCTCCCTTTGATTTTTGAAATCTTAGCTGTGGGAATTATTTCAGAATGCAGGTGTTTTGATGTTTTCCCCTAATTATCCTTGTGAAACTTGCTCATTTGTTCTTTTTCTCTTTTGAATCTTAGAATACCTAAAGGGGCAGGACCTGGATGCTACCTTTCAGGATCCTTAACATTGTCCAAAACTGAACTTGGAAAGAAAGCTGTAAGTAGTAGGTTTTTTTTTACACTGAAATTACCTGTTCAAAATGTCCATTTCTTAAAAGATGGGAATTCCACATTTCAGAATGGGTAAAAGAGAAGATCTCCTTGGCCAAAAAAAATTAATAGTTTTTTCTCAAGTTGCTAGTAAAGGTCAATTAATATTTGGTTGTATTTTAAAGTATTTAGTATTCTTTTTCCCAACGCTAAGTTACTCTGGCCTTCAACCTCCTACCTTGCATGGCTAATATACTTGAACTTCTGTGAAACATAGATCCAAATTAAACTTGGCTTAAGTGAATAAGATGTTTAAAATTAGAGCATTTTACAGAATTTTAACCAACATAATAGTGTGGATACAGGAATAGATCAGATCTTTTTGGGTTATTTCTAAAAATCCGTCAGAGCAATTATTACTAATAAATGACATTTTTCACACTTATACAAATATTTCTCTTGTTGCAATTTTCCATAATTATGTAGATAATATGAGGTATTTCTTTTGGTATTGCCTTTTATAGTTTCAAAATTATGCTTTTTTGTTAAAAACATGTTTCCGGTTGTTACATTTTAGAGATAAATGTTACAGTTTGATAAGTACTTGTTTTAGTTTTTCCATCTGTTTTCATTACAAATTTATTATGAGAATAGTGTTTAGCTCTATCACCTTTTATATTGTTTTAGCTCAATGCCAGTAAAAGTTGTCATTCTTACAGTTTTGCATTTCTCTTTAGTGTTAGTTCTTACAGAGTAAGCCTACCACACATAATGTTGAAACCCATAAATGCTGTTATCAAAATGAATAGATTTCGTACATCTTAAAAAGTACACTTCTTGCTCTATTGAATGAAGATCATTTATTTACTGCCATAGAAACGTAACTTAGGAATTTGTGGCTTAGAAAAAGTTGTTTGCCCTGACATTTCTTGAGTCTCATTTCAGTCTACTATTTATTTATATATAGTGTATTTAGTGTCATTTGAAATGAATCAGTAGTTAATGATATTGGAAGTTATAGATGCACTGATTTAAGAAATCCTAGTAGTCTTGTTTTGTAGACTTGATTTCCTGGGCAGCACATCTGCTTCCTTTGTGGTGTTTCAGCAGTGGGGCTTCAGAAATGAGGTTCACACCCAGATCACTCTTCTCAAGTGTCCACTTCCTTGTGATGAGTATCACAGAAGAGCATTGTTATTAAAAGTATGCTTTTAGCAATTCAGAGATAGTTACTTCCTTGCTGCAGTTTTTCAGAGGCAGTTGTGAAATTATAAATGTGAGATGAACTATAGTTATTACTTGTCAGGTAATTACTTATGAAGGTAGATTTTCTTGAGCGAGAGCAAAAACTTTATACTTAATTATAATTCCCAACACAGTGTTTATTTAAACTTACCTCAATAGTTTTGCATTTCTTACGGTTTTGGTCGCTGGGAAGGTTCATTTACCTCTCTGACTTTCACAGTCCACTTGAATGATGGTTGGCATGTGTGTATGTGTTGTGACATCCTTGAAAATCAGATTCTGGATCGTCAACTAAATTTAATGTTTTCAAAAGTGTTTTGATAACTAATGGATTTTGCTGTATTAAATTTTTGAAATCAGAAGTTGAAAAGAAGCCCTTAGGACATTTCAGTGCATTTTTATTGATAAAATGAAAGTGGCAATGTTGCTTTAATTTAAAAGCCTGCCATCTTGATCATAGACATAACCTTTCTAAGTACTGTGACACATACAGGTGAAACATAAACTGGAAGAAAATTAGACAGGTGGTGTCTCCATCCTGTGTAGATTATGCATGTTTTCTTACAGAATGTCGTTCTAACTCCCAGGGGCAGTCTGCAGCAAAACGACAAGGAAAATTTAAAAAGGTACTGATTGTCAGTTCTTTAAAAAGATGTCTTAAAGCCTTATTCGCATATTAGTTAAAGTTTTTTTTCTGTCACTATTATAAATCTTTTTTAAAAACAAATCTCTCCCTTAGTTTCCTTTCTTTAAATTGTGCAGTATAGTGCTTTTAGCTTATCATTGTTGACATACTGCTTTCCTAAAGTATATATTCCTACCACAAATTGCTGGAAGACCCCTGTTTTATATGTCTATAGAAAAAAATTTAATGCTATTCATTTCTTACTACAGTCACGATACTAAGTGATAAGATTTGAAAATTTGCATATCTAAAATTCTATAGAGAGATGATTTTTTTTCCAGTTGTATAAGCCAAAACAATTATTTTTAAAGTATAAAAGCATTCTTAAATTGAATGACTTGATTTAAAAATATTATTAACATATTTCAAGTGAGGTTTATTCCTCTCTCTTGAGTCTTAGTTCTGGCAGGGCAGAAAGACAGAGTAGTAGATAAGCAGGAACAGAAATAAGGAGTGTTGACCCAAAATTTAAACTTACACTAAGATCATAAGCAAATTTTCAAACCGTAACTAGTAAGTGATCTGGTCGGTTTCCCTGCAACTTATTAGACTATCTCCTTTTGACTGCTTGAGCCAAAGTTAACTCAAAAAAGAAAAATTCTAGTTCAAGTCTGCTTTAGAGAAAGAGATACATATTCTGTGAGCTCTCTGGTGAAAACCTGCTGATATCATTCATCATCTAGTGGTTTCTCGCTTTCAAGCAGGAAGGATTGTAGTGGAAGAAATAGCATTATAAGGTAGAAAAAAAGGTAACCTGTGTTTCTTAATTTATAGCGATATGAAACGGAATCACCATTTTATTTTATTGGAATTTAGTAAAATTCCTTTATTAAAAAGACTTCTGAAATGTCCATATTAAAATGTGATGATAAATACTTTGTTAGAACAGTACACCACTGGGAATCATCTTTACAGATTAAAAAATAATATTAACTACTCTGTAGACCAGCATTTCTCAACTGAGTGACTTGATCCATTTGTGGGCCATGTACATTCATATAACAAAACATCACCAGCATCAAAACGAAAACAGAATAAAATAGGAAATGTCAGTCATCAAACTCATAAAACTGGAATTTCATTTTATCTGTAGATTGTTTATCTTCGGGTCATAATGAAAATAGTTTGCAAGCCACTGCTTTAGAGAATGAGGAAAAAATATTCTAGGAATCCATTGAAAATAGATAATGCACGTATCACAAAGGCATAGTGTTTTTTTTTTTATTCCTATATATTTTGGGAGTTTTGGTGGATTTTGTTTGAATTAGGTTGTATGAGATAGAAAATTGACAAATGAATAGGAAGATTATTATTACTTGATGGTTAGTAAAGCTTTGTATAAAGAACCCAGCAGCTAGAGTTAACTTCTTCCCATCTCAATCTTCAGTGTGAGTACACATGAAGCTCTTATTTTAAAAATAATCATGATATATTTATAGTCATATTACCAAAAAAAAAAAAAAACATATAAATGTATTGTCTGAACAAAATACCAACTAGCTTTTTGTGTGGACTTGTTCTCCGAGTTTCGGTGACTTTTGATTTGAAAATGTATGTTACCCTTTTTTAAGCTCATTGTAATATGAAAGTATATAGTTACTTTTAACAGATAATCAATAGCATTCAAAAATATTAATCTTTAAAATAGCTATTTTAGTTTGTGTGGAGGTATTACAATTTTGAATTTAGTTATAATTTAAGAACTAGGAAAACTATCATTTTTTAATCAAAATTTAATTGGTGGACTTTCATGTTGCCCAAAGAATAGTTTTTGGTTTTGCAGGTTTGGCTGTCTAAATACCATTCAAGCACTGTTGAAATACTTTGTGAATAGCTAGAATGGTATTTTTTTAAAAACACTTATTGTTAAGTATCTACTGTAGAGAACTTGAGCATTTCTGTTGTGAAGATTCTTCTTGATTATGTTTTTAAATCATAATCAAGATTTCTCAAGATTAATGGTACAAAATCATTTCTATTAAATTAACCTTATGCTAAGTAATTGGGAAGTGAGTTGTAAAAATACTTATTGTCAAAAAGAACAGATGACCATGATAAAACAAATGAAAAATAACTTCCTTTTTCTTTTCATTAGTGATTAAAACTACCGTATACATAATTTTTAGTAATAAAAATTCTTGTCCTGAAATACTTTATAAATTTATATTAACATTTATAATTTCTAATTTGATATATTTAATATGTAAAATGTTGCTTATAAAAACGTGATACACACACACACACAACCCCAGTCATTCATCATACATTTTCCCTGTGTTTAGTGGTAGTTTATGATTGTTGTCATATAGGGTTTATTCCTATTTATGGATCTTGGTTAGAGTTCATTGTTAATCATAAATTAATCTTAACGGATTGCTCATTTTAAATTCAATTCTATGTATTCTCTTCTGTACTAAAACATAATAGCAGATGCCTTACCTCTGAGCTTCAGGAGAATTGCCCCGCGACAGAGGCTTCCCATCTGGAAGTTTCTCTCTCTCCTAATCAGGCAAGGAGGGGAAGCTAAGGAAGGCTCAGGTTAGGTTAGCGTGAATGGAGACAGCCTAGTTTCCTCCTCCAGGCAAGTGTCATTCACATTGTAGCATACTGAATGGCACAGAATCATGATTCCAGGGAGAATAGGACCCTATTAACAGTGTAAATGTTGCGGGCCACTTATACCTTTAATTCTTAGGTGTGTTGTCTATGCTATACAGATGACACTGAAGCAGTCTGTTCACATAGGAACCTGGTGGTAAATTATCAACTTAAATTTTGCAGACACTTTAACCTGGCTTTGCCCAGGGCAGTGCCCACCTAAGAGAGTCTCAAGGAGAAAAGATGGGTGGCAGGGTCCAGAAGGAGCTAGCCCAAGCAAAATACCTGTTTCCTTTTCCCAGTCTCATGCTTCACATAAGATCTTTGCTTGCAGGCTCTGGCTCTCTAACCTCAGAGGGATTGAGAGAGAGACAGAGAGAGAGAGACAGAGAGAGAGAGACAGAGAGAGAGAAAGAAGAGAGGGGCACCCACATGGCTAAAAGTGGATTGAGAGAGAGAGACAGAGAGAGAGAAAGAAGAGAGGGGCACCCACATGGCTAAAAGTGGATTTTTTGTGTGATTATTTCACATCAGTGGTTTTCTGTGCTTAAAATGAGTCATGTTGAAATAATAATTATTTTATGTTGGAATATTATTAGAAGAACCACAACAGCAGTTCCTTATATTTACTATTATAATTATACTCCAAAATAAAGTTTAATTGGGAAAATTGTTTAAATGGACATATTTCTGTAGTATTTACACCTAAAAATTTGGGGGAAGGTGGGAGCTTGCTGTACTATTTTTTAACTCAACCTGTGTAAAGGTTTTTCTGAAATTACTGTGATTAGAGCAGAGAAAGTATTTTTGGTAACATAACTTATTCCAATTTTAGACATTTTTTAATTAAAACAAATATAAGAATTTAGCAGCATTTTTAATGTAAACCTGAAGACAGAATTTGAGAAATTGGCTTAATAAATAGTGATTTAATTAAGGACATTAGTTATTGTCCTAAAATCGGAACTAGCAAGTATAACATATGATTTCATTTCCCAGAGAATGCATTACTTTTCATAAGACTTACGTGCTTTAATAAAATAGATGGAAATAGATGTAATTAGATATAATTGCACATTGCTCTCTTCAAAGCAAAACTTTTCAAATGAACTATCCATACTTGTTTACTTCCCATTCTCTCTTCCTCTCTTATTTAGTCAGCCCTTATCCCCCAGCTGTCCACTGAACTCCCTGCTGCCAGGCTCCAGTTATTTCATTCTCTGTCTTGTGTGGTGTAACCCTCTCAGCTACAGTCTTCAGTTGACCACTCCCTCTTTCTTCAGGCTGGCTTTTCTCAGGGTTGCCATGACCACACATTCTCTCTGGATTCTGCCTCTTTCTCTCACAGAGCATCTAGGTAGTAGAAGGCCTTGGACCAAGTCCTGAACTCACCCTTTCCTCACCCCCCACCCCAACCCCCATCTAGTCTTATTCATCTACTCGTTTAAAACATCATCAGCAAGCACTGTTGGCTCTGCCCTCCCAGAACATCTCAAATCCATTCATTTCTTTCTACAGCCTGTTGCTTAGTTCAAGGCAGTGTTGGCATGCCTAGGTTTGCTTCCTAATTTGTTTTCCACTTTCACCTTCTATCATCCATTCTATAAGCAGTATCAAGAGTTACTAAGAACAGTGCAAAACTAAATCCATACAGGATCCAGAGTCATTAAACAAAAAGCAAAACTCTTTAATCGTGTCACCGCCTTGCATAAAACTCTTCTGGTAGGCTTGCTATTGCCCTTAGAATACAGTTTATGTATTTTTTACCGTATTCTATCAACCTTACTTAATATGGCCTCTGCCTATTTGCTCAGTACATACAGTTGTGCTCACCACATACCAAGTTCAGGTGTGTGCACATGCTCGTCTTCAACTTTCAAATACTTCTTCCTGTCCTCATTTGAGGTTCATTTATTTAGGTCATTTCAGTTCATTTAGATCAGATGAGACCTTTAGAGTGGCTTTCCATAACCACTTTGTCTCCACTGGTTCCCACACCTTACCTAGCAGTCACTCGCTCAGTATCTCTTTATTCTATTTCATTTTCTTCAAATCATGCATTAATATCTGAAATTACTTATTTCTATGTTTGTCTGTGTTCTCCCACTGGAATGTATGTTCCCTGAGGGCAAGAAAGGGCCTTGTTTGCTTTGTTCTTCACTTGTGAGAGTTCGTTACTTGGCACATCACAGGCTTAATGAGTCCTGTTGACTGAATGAAGAAATAAATTTCTCTTTCAATTTACTTGGAGAGAAAAGAGGATTTTAAAAAAATTTTTGTTTATTTTTGGGTTTTTTTTTACTAACTTATTTCCTCTCCTCAGATATAAAATGTGGAGAGTACAATATACTTTTATAATTAGTCGATCAAGTAAAACTAAGACTGCCAAGTATATTCAAATAGAGAAAAAGTTTATTATTAATCTCCTTTATTTTAAAGGAGACATTAGAAGAATTGGTACTTTAAAGTTGGGGAGAAAATTACTTTGATTGCAGATTGGAATTTTTTATGTATTGTGGTGCCTTAGAGTCTGGAATACAGTGTAGTACAACTCAGGTGCAGCCCATGTTATGTGATATTCAGATATTGAAGATGATTTTAAAATATGTAAAATTAAGCAGGTTAATCTAAGACTGTCTGTCTCTCCACATTCATAGGATGTAATTCCTGTTCATTACTACCTAATATCTCCACCAACAAAGACCAAGAATGGCAGCAAAGATAAGGAAAAAGATTCTGAAAAAGAGAAGGATTTAAAAGAAGAGTTTACTGAAGCATTAAGAGATCTTAAAATTCAGTGGATGACAAAGTAAGTATTTAGTGAATTTTAATCCTCTTAAGTGTTTTCTTTTCCTATTTCCAGCATTATTGCGTGTATATGCATTGGCTATATTCAAAAATGTTAACAGTGGTAGGATTACACATACTTTAAATTTCCTTATATTTTTATTCCCTTTTGTGATAAGAATTCGTTTAATATTTTAATCACTTACTCTGATTTGCTCTTGGAGAAGAATTTTGTTGGGAGATATAAAAAAAATAATAAAAATCTCTTTTTGCCCACTCTGCAAAGACAATCACTGTCCTGTTATTATTTGTCTCTGTATTTATACATAGTAGTGTGAATGATATTGTGTCCTACTTTTCCAGTTCCTTATTTGTTTATGAGCATTTTCTATGCCATTTAATAGTCCTTTAGAATACTATTTTTAATGACTATGTTGCATATGGTACTGTGGATGAAATATAACCTATTGAAATACTTTATTTGTCACATGTTTATAGATTTTCTTTATAATGTGATGGATATTTTTATACATATTTTTTTTATTTCCATCAAATAGCATCTTAAAAGTATAATTATTGAATCCAAAATACTAATTTTTAAAAATCGTCTTATGTTTTGCCAATTGCTTTCCAGAGTGGATATAACAATTTATACTCCATCCAGTAGTGTATGATGGGGCCTATGTCTCTTCCTGTACTTTTGCCAGCAGAGAGCCATATAATTAAAACTAGAGCCTTGCTAGTATAAGATGCAAAAAGAAAAGGCCATTATTGCAAGTCTTAAACTGCATTTTTTTAGCTATTATTAAATTTGAGCTCTTTGAGTGTTATTTCATTCTTCATATAGCGTCTGTGAGTTGAACATGTTCTTTACTCATTTCTCTATTGACACATCAGATTTTTCTGTCTTTACAGTCATGAGGTCTTACAGAGAACAGACATCATTGTATTGTAGAAATAATTCCCAGGGATTGATTCCTTATAATGTCAGTCCACATTCAAACCTACCTTTCCACTTAAAACTAGGACCTGTCCTATCTGCACCAGAAGTTGAAGTCTTTAGGTCCGTCTCTGGCTGATGGTAGGATGTAATAAACAGTTGAAAATACAATGTAGATCCTTCAACAGTGAGATTGCAGAGATTGACTTCTGGCATAATGGTGGGTGATGTAGAAACTTTATTCCAGACTGGTTCCCCTCAGCTCCCAGTCTGAGGACTTTCTTCCTGGGAGGAGCAGGATTTCGGCATTTCTCTTCCAGCCCAGCCACCAGTTGCTGAGGCTAATGTGGTTGAGAGGTGGGGGCTTCCTTCTTCTGCTCAGCTCTACTTGTAAAGTGGAGGGTCTGCCTCAGGTATGGCACTGCTGGGGCCTCAGTCACCCCTGCCCCAGCTCAAGAGGCAGTGGTTCCATGCCAGGCAAGGCAAGCCGAGAACACTACCGGCTGCTACTCCCCCCTCCATGTAATAAGGAAGAGTTGACATAATTTCATTGAACTTCCTCATCTGGAAACATGGAATGTCTCGTCATTCATACAAGACTTCAGATTTTTTAGAAAAGTTTAAATTTTTCTTCTTATATATAGGTCTTGGACATTTCTAGATCTTCTATTTTTTCTTGATATTTGTGAATGTGTTTTTCCCCTCCTTTTTTTTAAATCTAGTTATAGCTGATACGTAGGAAAGCTGTTGATGCTTATTTTTATCTTCCATCATGTTGAACTCTTAAATAATTTTCATTTTGATTTTTTTTTTCTTGGTAAGCATATTTATACTATCTACAAATAATGATAATCCTTGTCAGCAAGTGTACTTATAGTTCAGATTGATGCCTTAGGTTATTGACTGGAACTTCAACATAATGTTAAATAACATGAAAGATGGAAATTCTTTTTCTAAAAGAAATTAAATAATGAATGTTTTCTCTTTCTTATGTACCTAGGCTGGATTCTGGTGATATTTATAATGAATTGAAAGAAACATATCCTAATTATCTTCCTCTGTACGTTGCTCGACTTCATCAATTGGATGCTGAAAAGGTTGGGCATGTTCATTTTTAATATTTTATTATATAAAAAATATCTTATTTTTTTGGTAATATTAGATAAGGTTCGTATTTTGTATTAAAGGACAGCCTTATATTTGTCTTCTGCTCTTGCTGACTAAAAATGTGTTTACTCAAATTGAGCCTTCTATTGAAGCTCTTTTCATTTAAGCTGGTTACAAAATAGGCCATCACTGTGAGTTTAGGATTCTCACTCACATTTTTGGTCAGTGGGAGGAGTAGATACCCTAAGGATTGCTTTTTTAACTTTAACCTAAAGAGCAAGGAACAGAAGGCCAGTGGTCCTGGCCTGCTGCAAATCTAAACACCTTCAGCAAAAGAAGAACCCCTATTTTGTGTTAACTTTGTTCGTGATTCTCGCTTTTAAGAATTAGCCATAGTTCCAGACTTTCTTAACATGGGCGAGCTCTCATTAGTAACCATGGCAGTAGGAAAGCTGTATTCAACTAAAAATTATCAAGGGTTCAGTGTGAACTGGACGTGTTGAAAGGAGACCTCTAAAAGACTTGAACAAGAAAGAAACAACTTGCTGGGAACGCACAGACACCATGATAATCAGACACCATAACACCATGTTAGTTATATTCTTGTTGACTCCCATGTTCGTGTTTTAAATAATAAATTAAAAGAATTTATTTCATCAGCGAGTGCTTTTTTCTCTTTTCATGTGGCATGGGACTGAAGCAACATAGCTGATCTCTAAAATCTTTCCTTAAGATACCCAGAAAAGGAATTGCCTTTGTAGAAAACACTTTACGTGTTTATGAACTTTATATTTTGCTAGGTGTTATTGTTTACTGCCAGCAGGGAATGTAAATTAGGTATTTTCCTGCCCGTGCTCAGCTTTTGTAGATATGCTAACAATTACAAAGCTCTCACAAGAAGATAGCGCTGAGCCCTGGGCTGCATATAGACTATGTAGTCCCCTCACACTGGATTTGAGACAAGCAAAAATGCTGCAGTATATTCATTGAAACATCCTTTTTTTTTTTCTTTTTCTGTTTTTTTTCTTCCCCAGGAACGAATGAAAAGACTTAATGAAATTGTTGAAGCTGCAAATGCTGTTATTTCTCATATAGATCAAACGGCCCTAGCAGTTTATATTGCAATGAAGACTGACCCCAGGCCCGATGCAGCTCTTATAAAAAAGTACCTAACCAGTAAATAATCTTTCTTGCATCTCATTTCTTTTTTTAAAAGTAGGGATTGATATTATTGAGAATATTCTTATTTCCTGGTATTTGTTATATCCTTATTAGAGTTAGCAACATTTAGATATTCCCTCCTTAGATAGTTAGTAATAATTTTCTCCAGTCATTTAAGATTAAGCAAAAGAAAAGTAGTTTGCTTTCTCTACCATTAGATGCTGTCATGGTGGAGAGTTTTGAGTAGCTGTAATCAAGCTGTCTAGGCCCTTGGGGATTTGTATGAACTGGATGTGTGGAGAGGGCAAACACATAATACCCTAAAAAATTAACCTTTAAACTGTTTATCACCAATAGCAAGAAAAACCCCATATTTAGTTTGCAATGCCTAGAACGGAGAGGCTTAGCTAGGTGTGTGAGTGAGTGGTGCGGTTCCTTCCATGGGAGAGTGGGTTTCCATAAGTTGGTGTAATGGCCCCACAGCTCTCACTTTCACCCTTCCATGTACCCTCACCTCAGAGTGACTATCACTTCGGTTTATTTTCATCCCAGGGAGTCATTAATTTACAAGGGTAGATATCCTCATTTTCTCATAGTTATAATAACTAATAAACTGAAACTGTTCAGGATGCCTAAAAGTACTATAATTTCGCTTAAAGATTCCATCTCCTCCCATCAGAATATTTTTTTCTATATACAGTAAAATACCTGAATTTGAAACTGCTAGAACTCTTGGCATGACATGGTTCATACTGATATTATAGATCTTATGAATCTTACAAGCAGTGGTTTTCAAGCGGAATAAAATTTGTTGAAGATGGTTCTTGGCTATTGTCAGCACCCTTTCACACTTTCCAAAGGAGCAATCTCAAAACATTGCCATTTGTTGTTGTTACTGTTAATAACAGTAACAGTGAAAAGTGTAGCCCCCGTTTATAAAGTGCCAATTATGCATAAGGAATTACTTGGGGCATTTTAAATACAATGTCTCATTTAAATTTAATCCTCTAAACATGCAAAGCAGGGACATTTCTACCCCATTAAAAAATTTTTTTTTAAATATTATTATTTTTTATTAGTTTCAGGTGTACAAAACAATGTAATAGACATTTACACCCCTCACAAAGTGATAACCCCCTCCCCCAATCTACTACCTCTCTGACATTGTAGCTGTTACAATTCCATTGCCTATGCCCTATGCTGTACTCCACATCCTGTGATTATGTACATATATATTAAGTTATAGTTGACATTCAATATTATGCAGCTTCAGGTTTTATAGAAGAGGAAGCTGAAGTTCTGAGAGATTAAAGGACTTGCCTATGGTAACAGTAGTAGGAAGTCGGAAAGCCAGGATTCAGACCGGGAACCCTCTCCTCAGCCTGCGCCCTTGCACTTCTTGAGCAAATCCTTCTATTCCTCCCTGAATCCTGAGGAGATTACTATATGCCTCATTCTTTTGTCACAGACTCATTGTCTTCACAAGTATCGGTCATGAGTTGGACAAAATGCCTCAAATAAGCAAGCATTCTAGAGACTACCACTGTTCCCTGGAGTGCAGGTTATTATATTTCATTCAGTAGTGATTTATTGTCTGTTTTGTGCCAGGCAGTTGGAATACGTTAGAAGAAAACAAAGATGCCTGCTCTGGAGCACGCAGTTTATTTACCACAGTGATTAAGGGTGGGGATTCCAGAACCAGACTCTTAAGTAACTTAGAATCCTGGAGTTGCCACTTCCTAACTATAGGACCTTGAACAAATCAGTTTATTTCTCTGTGCCTCCGTTACTTCCTTTGCAAAATGATGGGGGTCATTAATAGTATCTTACTTGTAGAATTATGAGTATAAATGAGTTCATATGTTAAAATGCTAAAACAGTGGCTGGCACATTCAGAGTAAGCATTATATTTGTTTGCTCTATTTATGCATATAAGTTCATGACTGGGAGAACCTCTGTAGGTCTGTACATACACAGAGGCAAATATGTAATAAATGCTATTTGTAAGAAATCTAAATACTTTATCAGTTACTGTTCTGATTCAGAGTTATGTAGCTAACAGAATTTAGAACCAAATAATGTTTCAGCTCTATTGCTTATGGCATTCTGTTTCAACCAAGTCCAGCTGTCCTAGCTCATGTAATCTGTCTGTGTAAAATAGTGGCTCATTTGATGTTTGTTAGAAGTAAGGAATTTTATTTGATGTACAGTACACATGTATATACATGGCTATACAAGATATCTGCATTGTAAATACCAAGCAGGAGAATGCATGAATTTAATTTCAGATAAGGCTGTACTTTTAAACAACTTTTACTGACATGTGAAATGTTTTTCAATTTGGTGTGCAGTGACATGGACAAACAAAAATCCACCCTCGTAGATGCCCTTTGTAGAAAAGGATGTGCGCTGGCCGACCATCTTCTTCACACACAGGATGAAGATGGGGCTGTGTCAAGCGACGCGGAAGGAAGAGAGGAGGAGGGAGAAAGTACTTTGGATTCTCTGACAGAAACTTTTTGGGAAACTACAAAGTGGACTGATCTTTTTGACAATAAGGTAACCTCTCTGCTTCTTGTTTTTCTGCAGTTCTTGGGGGTTACTTCACAAACTCCTCTCGGGCCCCGTTGCCTACTGTTTACTGTTTTCCAGATGGCTGGCCGGAAGAAGAGAATAATTGGAATGAGGCTAAGCTTGTCTCTGAAGAAGATATGTTTAGTGGTACCTCATATTTGTCTTAACCTGTTTTTAAATCATTTTTTACTGTTATTTTCTCTTTCTGCAAAGTGGCCATTTAGGCACACTAATTTGGAAAACGGTTTAGGAACATATGTAGTGGTCTTTTGATTAAGCCAGCCAGTTATATTTGAAGCTAAAATTAAGAACATCTTTTAAACTATCTTTGTGCCTTCCCACATCTATTTAAGTGCTAATTTGTGGGGGATGGAAGGGGGGCAGGTATTCTGATTAGTTTAGATGTTATTTTTATCAAAACTCTTTGACTTTTAAATAATTACCAACTTGATTTATAGCTGATCAGTTTTAAAACCCAGTTTATAAAAAGTACATTGATGAACTTTTTGGATTTTGGTTATAAAAACAGTTTTAAGTCCCTTATAGCTCTCTACTATAACTCTTACAGTAGAGATTATAGAACTGCAAGTTTTTGCCAATTTTCCTCTCCTCTAGAGAGAAAAACAAAGTAAATGAAATCAGTGGGATTCTCCTCACCCAGCACAAGCAATTATTTTGTTTTAGTCGACAGATGCTTGTTTTCAGCATTAACTATTGTAATTTCTAGGAAAGAACTCTGGAAGTAGGAGAAAAATTCTTCCTATATGCTTCAGGTTTTGCTACTGTAAGACAGTAGTGCTTATGTAGAAAGCAGTAAGCTATATGCAGGAAACTGCACCAGAGGTTAAGAATTTGGATCTGAAATCAGACCCCTGGAGTTTGAATCCTGCCTCTACCACTTTTATGTGTGTGTGGCCTCAGTTTCTAATCTATTGAATTAGGATAGTGACACTACCTACATAGGCTTTTATTAATGAGTATTAAGCGCATGGGAGGACCTCATCAGTATTTGCTGTTCAAAACACTGCAAAAACTTTGCTGGTGAAAAAAAGATGAATAAGAACCTGGTCCAACAGAGTTGATGAACATCATGATAAAATTATTGTAAATAATTCTCGTTTGCCATGGTACTGTTGTGTTAGGGGCCATGCATTATTTTACCTGTCTGTTTACTGTGTTCATAACAACAATTATTGAACACTTTGCTTGGCTCTGGAATACAAATAAATGTGACAGGATTTCTTTCTTTGAGAACATTTCCCACATTCTAAAAGTGGAGGCCAGAAATGTATATAAATGGTTACAAGTGTATTTAACAGAGACAGTAATTAAAGGCACAAAACTTGCATTAAAGGAAATAAGTTGAAAGTAAGAACATGTTTGTATAATCTCATACTTATTTTTACTTTTATCTTTTTCAATTTCGATAATTTATAATAACTATAGTTTTGTATTTCTATTATACTTTGCATTTTTATGTTAGCCCTGCTTTCTTTTTCATGAAGAGGTGTTTTGGTATGGATTCCAACAGCTAGTGATTTATAATAATTTTCTTTCCCAAGAAATTATCTGTTCTGTGGAATACTCACCTCTTTTGAAGACATTAATTGTTCTTTTAAAAGCTTTTGAACTTTACTTGATGTAACATGTTTATTTTAAAAGCTATACTTCTATAAAAGCCTTAATTCTTTTATTATTAAAGCTACATGCTTTAAAATGTAAATATCTCATAAATAAGCTTTATTTTGTTTTATGTTATAGGTTTTGACATTTGCATACAAGCATGCATTAGTAAATAAAATGTATGGGAGAGGCCTTAAATTTGCAACTAAACTTGTGGAAGAAAAACCAACAAAAGAAAACTGGAAAAATTGTATTCAAGTAAGTGATATTTAAATTGTCACCATTAAAGGTCACTTCAGTATTATATAGTGAATAAGATAGCTAAAATGCCTCATGGTAGTGATATTATAGTACTGACTTTATCATGACTAATTTTTATTCTAATTAATATAATGTAAACTATAAAATAAATGTATGAGAGACAATAAGCTATTTAAATTTTTAAAATATTTTTCACTCCTGTCCAGAAGTTTAGCCTCAAGTGTTTTCTTTTCCCTCCCCCCCCCCCCCCCCCCCCCCCAGAATATAGACTTTATTACTTGAAGCTTCCAAGTTTAGGGTACATGCTTAGGATTTGATGTCATCAGATGATGACATCAGATGATGTACTAAAATTTCAAAAGTATATTTGTGTATATATTTACACATATAAATAAACAGATTTGCAAACTTTACATGGTTCAGTATTCAAAAAGTACAAAAGGGAATATAGTATAAAGTCTCCTTCCTTTTCTCCAGCCATCAAGTTCTCCAAGGCAGTTACTTTTACCAATTTCTTATGTAGCTTTCCAGAGAGAACTATGTATATACACGCAAATAACATACACTAAGTTAAAATGTATTGTTGTGTAACTGTTAGCCAGTTAGCCATGTCCATATTGTTTTCGACTGCAACATAGCCTCAAATGTTATCAGTATAGGCAAAATAAATTATGAATTTTTATGTAGTTAGAAGATGAAGTTTTCCTTTATGAAGAAAATTAATTGTAAAATGGTTGAACTTTCAGAGTTTTACATTTGATTTTATTCTTCATTTGAGATGATAGTCCATAATGTTATTTTACCATATATCGTATATGCAGAGAAATTCTATGGTTGAGCTTTCTATAGAAGTTAATTGTCAAGTATAAAAACTTACCAAATTCCACAGAAATTATTTTAGCCTCACCTTGCCTTTGAACATGCATGATTGGTTTATGCCTAGAGGATATAGGGAGGTTAGGAGGATATTGGTTGTGCTAAATGCGGCCAGTGGTCTGCTTTTTATATTTAAGGTATGCTTTGGATGTAAAACTGACCAGTGGGTTCCTGTAGAAAATTTTGATTAAACTATATGTTATCTTTATTCTTAGACCCTTTTATGTGTACCTTTACTAGTCAGACCAAATTATACGACATTTTGAATTAGCTCCGTCAGCTCTCTGAATAGACTAAGAGGCCTCTTTCTGGAATTAATTGTTAATATGTTGTGTGTAGTTCTTCTCATCGTTTATGAAGCCAGTGATCCACCCAGACATTCACATCAGAGATGTTTTGTAACTTGTCTCACCTTCACTCTGCTCCTCTACTGTGTATTCTGCACACAGCAGCTGGAAATGATGGCTTTAGACACCCGGTGACTCTCCATCACATTTAGAATAAAACTCAAACTCCTCTCTGTGGCCCATCAGGCCCCATGTGACCTGGCTCCTGCCTTCCTCTCCAGCCATATCTCAAACCACACTTCCCCTGTTCACTCTGCTTCTGCCACACGAGCCTCCTCTGGGCTTGACTAAAACAGCCATGCCCTTTCCCACAGGAGGAACTAACTATTGCAGCTATAGGAGAGCTTTTACCCAGAGAGTAGGTTTCTACCTGTCGTTCAGGTGTCAACAGTGTCACCTCCTCTCTTCTTGACCATCTAACTTCCCATTCACTCTAGTCTATCGTTTTATTTTTACTGTATATGTGATATATATCTTATTTATTTATTTATTCATCTGTTCATTAATTTGCTTCTTTATTATTTGGTTTTCCTGAATAGAACATAAGTTTCCTAAAAGTGGGAAGTGAGTTTGTTCAGTACTGTTTTCCCAATGCCTAGAACAGTGTTTGACTTACAGTGGACACGCAGAAAAAACACTGAATAAAACGAAACTAGGCTGGTCAGAAGAAAGGGAGCAAGTCAGTTAATTGGGAGGAAAAACAGAAAGGTAAGAAGGAAAGTTGGCAGGGATGATAATAATAATGACCAGAATAGGCAGGTTGGTAGGAAAGTTGATTAGTTGATAGTAAGGAGCTTTGGTTGGTAAGAAAGAAGGTGGGCTGGGTGGAAGGCAAGTTCTACATATTACTACTTTATTATTACTAAAGATGTAATACAGAATTTACCCTAAATACTGAATTTGAAAAATCTGTTCTTTGCTTTAATGATACTTTATTGTGTTTCGTTATAGCTGATGAAGTTACTTGGATGGACCCATTGTGCATCTTTTACTGAAAACTGGCTCCCTATCATGTATCCTCCTGATTATTGTGTGTTCTAAAATAGGAACCAAGAGTTTAAATTTTAAAAAAGAAAGTTTTATAGTGAATGGATACAAAAACAAATTTGTGGCATTTTTAGTCTAATGCATGTTTTCATCCGCTATCAAATACTGATTATTAAAATGCTGTGTATTTATCAGAGAACTTGCTGGCGTGTGGCTTCATACATGTAATGTAGACCTCTGACATCATGGTGTTTTCTTAACACCTCACACTGCTGGACTGGGCGACGCCCCAACTGCCAGCACTAGGACTTTGAGTTGGGTTGCAGCTGTTACATGCATGATTGGTTTTGAGCAGTACCTTTTAACTGCAAACCTGTAAAGTTCTATTTTTTATTTTATAAATGAACAGGGTTTTAACATGCTCAACTTTAATTTTTTCAGTTGTATGAAGGCCTTAAAAAAGCTACATTAAGCGTAGCTAAAATTATTTATTGGACTGAAAAAGTAACAGAACTTCACTTCCAGATTTTTTTTTTTAAACATTTACATTCAATTAAGGGGAAAAAAATTAAAGGGGCACAAATGTGTGGCAATTTCTGGAGCATAACTGCCCCCATAAATCTTCATCTTGGAGTTATTTCAGGCCAATTATATTTTAACGTCCTCTTGACATGCAGAGAGCATCAGAATGAACTAATAATACATGTATAAGTGCCAGACAGCTAAATCTTTATCAGGTATTTTAAAGATACACATATGGTATGTTTATTAACGTTGAAATAATGTAAACACGTGAATAAATGTGCAAAACCAAGATCACAATACACCATATGCACTCTGATACCTTAATTGTTTTTGTTTTTTTTTATAAATAATAAAAGTGAATATTGAAGCTTCTTAAAGTTGGTCTTAATTTTTCATAAATAAAATTTGGGATTAGAACAGAAGTAATATATTAAATCTATAGACCAAAAAAATATATCAATGTGAGGTATTTTATTTTATAATGTTTCTTATCGGCTTGCAGTTATTTGAATATATTTCCAGTGCTTATTGTGGTTAACTTTTGTGTATGTTTAACTTTTTATTATTTCTATATTTCTGGCTAGACTTGCTCCTCTCATCCTTCCTCCGTAAAATAAACAGACACCGTAGACAATATTAAAAAGCCTCCACTCACTTACAGCGAATGTGTGTGCGCGTGTGTGTGTTTGTTTTTAAATCGTGTTCCCTTAGAATTTACTACTATAGAAGACCTACCAATAATCTTGTCTAGTCATTCATAATTGTGTTTTGGGCAGTTGACCCTTTTATCTATGAAATATGAAAGTTTTAGAGCCTTTATGAAAAACTACGATAAGCATGCAAACATTTTGCTTACAATTTCTGAACCATCTAGCGTCTAAAGTCCATCTATGAATAGCCACATGCTTTCACCTACACACATACAGGTCCACCTACATATATAGGTTCTGTCCAATAAGGAAATTGAGAAGCTCAGGCAAGCTACGGTGACTTCCCAAGGTCATGCTGATTGGCTGACTGATTAACAACCCAGGTTTTGCCATATCTGGTAAGTACTATCTATTTTCACAGAGCCTCAGAGTCAGCCAGACATGAGAGCCTGGGTCCTTCTCAGTTGTTTTCTGAGGCTATATACAGCTCTACCACCTTTGTGGCCTTCTAGACACCCAGGAATATATATGTCAGAGCTTTCAGAGTCCCTATGAGCATCTCATTTCCCAGCATTTCCTTTTAAGGTTTTTGATTAGCCTCAACTGTTATCCACCATCTCAGGCAGCCACAAAATTATGCAGTTGCCTGTAATTAACTGGACAGACACCCCCTGGGAAAAGGCTTCTGGGCCTACAAGAGATCTGAGTCCAGTCTAATAAAGATGGCCTTGCCATGAGGCCTTGGGAACACCCAGACAAGCCAAGTAATGACAGTTTTCTGGGAATGCAGCTTTGAAGGAGCTCCCAACCGTATTTGGCTCCCGCCAGTGACTTCCAGGCTGCTTGTTTTCAAGATTTCCAGTGGAGCTGGAGATAGGATGGGGTCAGGGCAGTCTGAAATACCAAAGTGCACCGCTCTTACTGAGATTGAGCCATTTTACTTGAGCGAACATGCTTCAGATTGCTACATGACTGGTTAATTTCCAGAGTTCTGAAAAAGGTGCTTCAGACAATTTTTAAGAGTTTCTCCATTGCTTTATTGGAGAATTTTTGAAGGTGCTTTCTCACTGACAAAATGGTCCATTGTTTCACATCACACTTTTTTTTCTTTTTTCTTTTTTTTTAGCATATATTTAGTATCCAATTTAAAGTAGTTTTATGATTAGAAACTTCCTGGTAATACATTTATTTTGAAATACTACCTTGTGAGCTTTATCAAGATATACAGTAAGTTCTACAATCCTTCGAATATGACTTTTTACACAAAACTCAACCAGAGCTCCCTAATTTCTCACTTGATTCCTCAGGTTTTGGGTTTGTTTGTTTGTTTGCTATGTTTTTTAATGTGGAAGGAGAAAGTAAACCCATGGAGCGTTTTGGATATACTCCAAGAAAGGACTGGAGCTCTAGGTACAATGAGTGGCTGGGCCCTCCTGACAGGCCAGGTTGACAGCAGCCGACAACCTACTGCCCTGCTCGGGGCCAGCTGTACCCTGCTCTGCGAAAGGATTGTTTCAGGATCATTTAGAACTGCATTTGTGAGAAGATTTCAAAGAATTAAGCAAGTGTGTAATTTATTTAAAGCTGTATTCTTTAAAGGGTCAAACATCAATAAGAGTTCCAGTATCAAGGCCAGATGTCACCATTTTCACTATACAGATAGGATAGACTACCTGCATTTCCTGTCATGTAAACCAAATTTATTTAGAATCTGACTATGCCAGGTCATATCCAAAATGTGAATAGAATACAAAGCAACTGGAAATGTCTTCTATAATTCTTTAATTTTACGTATGATTTTAAAAGTTACTAACATGCCTCAATGATCTGTGTGCCAAGCTACCTCAAAACGCAGTGGTTTCCAAAAATCTTTTCAGTCGCGAATGTAACTTGGTTGGAGTTTGATCTAAGCTGGGCTTGGCCTGGGTGGTTCTACGCCTGAGTCATTAAAGTGTACAATTTACAGGAAGAACAGAAGATAGAGGGACGTATTAAAGGATACCCTGGTAAAGCTGACAGCATAATGCAACAGGTAGAAATGCTCCAGGACATTCAACTCAGCTTCAACAAATAAAGGGCAAGAGGGAAAGGCAAGATGGAGGGAGAACCTGAAGATCAAAAGAAATTTAAGGGACATGCCAATCAAGCAATCACATGTGGCTCCTTTTTTAGGTCCTGATTCAAACAAACTAAAAATGTCAAAACATTTATGGGACAATTGGAACACATTGGATGTTTAAATATATTAATAATGTAAAAATTTCTATGCAAAATATATTTTTAGATGTGATCTGATTATGGTTTAGATATGAACAGAATATATGGGAGAAAGGATATGTCTGTGTTACTTGCTACAAATTAAAACAGGAGCAGGGCTGGCCAAGTGGCTCAGTTGGTTAAGCGCTCACTCAAGTGTGTGAGCTCTGAGCAACAGCTGTTTGATTCCCGGCCTGAGCTGAGCTGCCAACAGGTGGCAGGATGGCTCAGCTGAAAAAGAAAAAAAAAAATACAGGAGCAGAGAAGTGGGTGGAGGTATAGATGAAACAAGATTTTCCATGAGTTGAAATTGTATATGGTCATGGGGGTTCATAACATTTTTTTGTCTACTTATTTAAAAAACAGCGTCATTGAGCAACAGTTGCCATACAGTAAACTGTACATATCTAAAGTGTACAACTTGTCTATTTTTATATGTTTAAATTTTTCTGTAAGAAAAGTTTGAAGTCAAAAGTTAGGTAATTGCAAACAATCTTGGCTTTTCTAAAAGGGCAGCCCAAGAAGAGATTTAGGAGGCAGATCCCATTACTATAAATTTCTTAATAGATTTGTCTACATTGTGTGCTTGAAAGAGGAAGTTTGAAAGCAAATTTGCATAACATTTGGGACGAACCATGAGGGGGTTTTTTGAGAGCTTTATTATGTTGTATGATTTATACACCATAAAATTCACTGGTACAAGTGCACAGCTCAGTGCCTGTAGTACAACCTTTAACAATCAAACTTGAGAACATTTTCATCATCTGGAAAAGTTCCTTCAACCCCTTTGTAGTCAGCCTCCCCTCTCTCTCTTAGCTCTAGACAACCAATGACCTGCTTTCTATGGCTACAAGTTTGACTTTTCTAGAAATTTGTCTTTTAGTGTAATGTTCTTGCATGTCTTCCATGTTGTGTATATCAAATATTTATTTCTGAGGAATATTCCATTGTGTGATGTTCCACATTATGTTTACCCATTCACTGGTTGCTGGATATTTGAACTCGTCTTTTTTTTAATTTATTTTTTTTATCTGAGCCATCCTGCCACCTGTTGGCAGCTCAGCGGCAGCTCAGCTCGGGCCGGGAATCAAACAGGCAACCCTGTTGCTCAGAGCTCATACTCTTGAGTGAGCTCTTAACCAACTGAGCCACTTGACTAGCCCGATGGATATTTGGATTGTTTATACTTGAAGTCATTATGAATAATGCTGGTATGAAAATTTATGTACAAGTTTTTTTGTGTGTGTGGGCATATGTTTTAATTTTTCTTGGGTAGATAGGAATGAAATTGCTGAATATCTTTTTAACATTTTAAGGAACTATTAAACCGTTTTCCAGAATGATGCTACCATTTTACATTCCCACTAGCAATGTGTGAGAGTTGCCGATTTTGCACCTCCTCAACCCTTGGTATTGTCACCTTTTCAAATTTGGCCATTCTAGTGGTTTGTCATGGTATCTCATTGTGGTTTTAATTTGCATTTCCCTAATAAATGACAAGTTTATTAGATATTTGTCTATTGTCTTTGGTAGAGTTTCTGTTCAAGTTTTTTACCCATTTTTGTTTTCATGGGGTTGTCTGTGTTATTGAGTTGTGAGAGTTCTTTCTATATTTTCGATAAAAGTCTATCAGATACATGTTTTGCAAATATTTTCTTCAGTGTGTTTCTTAATGGTGTCTTGAAGAGCAAAAGTTTAATTCCAATAAGATCCAATTCAACATTTTTTTTTCATGTATGGGTTGTGTTTTTCATGTCTTATCTAAAATATCTTTGTCTAAAGTAACAAAGATCCTATGTTTTGTCTAGAAATTTTACGGTTTTTATAGTTTTAACTCACTTAGGTCTATCATTCATTTTGATTTAATTTTTGCATACGATAGGGAAGATGCAAGGTGTATTGTTTTTCACATGGTAATCAGTTTATTCTACATCACTGGTTTAAAAATCTATACTTTCCCTCATTGAGTTACCTTGGCCCCTTTGTTAAAAATCAATTGACCACATATGCATGGGGCTATTTCTGGACTCCACTCCGTTCCATTGACCTATATGTCAATCCTTATGCAGATATCAATTGATGTGCGTTATACTAAGCAGTGTTTTCTAGATTGACTCATCTTTACCACCCTTGCTTACTGACGGAGAAAAACAAGTATAATTGGGTAGAATAATCGAGTCACCAGGTGTACATCCTGTGCTTGCCACCCATTATCTAGACATTATGAAATATATTCCTGCTGTTCTCCACACTTTTCTTTGGCTTTTGGGAGCCTGATCCTGTATGGTCCATATCCTAAGGAAGAGCATTGTGAAAGGCATGGTTAAGAGAAAGAAATTAAGGCTTCTGCCTTAGGCAAGATGTTTTCTTTTTTTTCTTTCATTTTGGATGGGGGTAGGAGCCACAATAATTTCCTCTAAATTTTTTTTAAGTATTAGTTTCAAAATCTTGGAAGTAGGCTTTTACAATATAGAGCTTACTGTTAGTTTATGATCACACTGTTATTTATCTTAAAAGACAGAAGAAATTCTAATCTCCATCCAGAGGGATTGAAAAGCATTTAAAAACGATCACCAGATGCCTTAGAGATTCATATTCTTAATAGGCAGTATTAATAAAGGAGAAAATAAAGGCAACTACCTCTTTGGAATTATGTCTAGAATCCCCATTTCATCTTTGAATTTATGAATATTTATATTAATTGTTTCACAGTTGTCTTTAAAGTTTAAGAAATAACTGTGCACATGCACGTGCATACATGTGTATTAAGCAATATCAATGTGTATTAGTATTAGCAACCAATACTAATTGCTGTCTCAATTATTACATCTTTGAAATACCTCTTGATTTCTTGCAAAGCAGATCTTCCTACAGGTTCTTCCTTAAGAGTGACTTTACTCTTCTTGGACTTCTCATTTTTATATAATTTTAGAATCAGCTTAACAAGTTCCACAAGAAAAAATAACATGCAAACTGCACGTAATCTGTTGATCAAGTTGGAGAAAATTGACATCTCTAAAATGGCTTCCAGTGCATAAGCTTGGTATGTCTTTTCATTATTTTGGTTGTCTTTAATTTGTCTCAGTACTGCCATAAGTTTGCGTAGTGTTCTTGCATATCTTTTGCTAAGATTTATTCCTAAGTATATGATATTGCTATTGCAAGTGATCTCTTTATTTAAATTTTATCTTCTCACTATTTGTGGTTAGAATTGATAAATTCATTTGGGCTTTGTATGTTGACATTTGGCAACCTTGCTAAACTCTTACAAATTTCAATTCCACTGTAAATTATCTGCACTTTCAGGAGTCAGCAAATTATGGCCTATGTGCCAAATTCAACCCACTGCTTGTTTTTAAATGGCCCACAAGCTAAGAATGGTTCTTGCATTTTTATAAATGATTGTAAAAAAAAAAAAAAAAGAATATGCTACAGAAACTGTATATGGCCTGAAAAGCCTAAAGGATTTATTATCTGGCCCTTTACAAAAAAAGTTTGCTGACCTTGGCCTCCATAAACAATCATGTCATCCATGAATAGTAGTATACTTTTATTTCTACCATCCTAAGTGTGCATGTTTTATTTTCTTTCTTTGACTACATTGCCTAAAAACTCCAGTTTAATATTGAAGGGAAATGGTGGTAAGCTTTAATTTTAAGTTTTTTCTCTATCTCAAAGGAGAAGCTTTTAATATTTTATAATTAAGTGTGATGTTTGTTTTAGTTGTTTTTTTAAAGATTTTATTAGGGAATGGAGGGAAGGGGACAGCATTGGGGAATTGGGGAAGGGGAACATACAGGTAGACAAATTGCTGTTTTTGTCCTTCAGTCTAGTTGTGGAGGACTTTGCTTCACTGGCCCATGTGGGTATGATCATTGTGCTCTTTCTGGATGAGGCAGATCGGTCGCCTGTCATTGGTCGGCCGCTCACAGTGGCTCCTGGCTGCTCACGCTGGCTGCCAGCCACTCACGTAGCTCACGGTAGCTTACAGCAGCCCCGCTGCAGCCTACGCCATTGCCGGCGACTCACGGCAGCCTAGCTCCAGGTCGAGCTGTAGTTCATCATCTTAGCTGTAGAGTGCGCAGCGTCACTGGCCCTCAATGTGGGATCTGAACTGCAGTCCTGCTGCTCAGAGCTGATGCTCCCAAGCGAGCTCTTAACCAGAGCTCTTAACCAGCTGAGCCACTCGGCCGGCCCTGTTTTAGATTTTTTTTTGCAGCCTTACTTAATTAAAACAAATAAAAATGCCATTCTTTCCTAATTTTCTAGGAAATATTAATCAAACAAACAATCCAGAAATCTAACTTGAAATGGTCCTAGGCAGATGGCACAGAGGGAGAGTATTTGTAAACTAAATTCTCTTAAGTTCCTAAGACAGCATCCATTCCTCATTCTAGCACTGTTTCCATATTTTTCAGTTTTAGTCATTGTTAAGTCTATAATTGTTTTCTATCACTCAATATCCTCTCCCTTTGTTACAGTTAAAATCCATGTAAGTAGAGTCTTCAAATTAAGATATAAAGACCCTATCAAGCTTAGTTTCAAAAAACATGTGACAAAAGTGTACTGGTAAGTTTAAAGCTGTGCTCTACAGTAGAAATAACAAGGGGGAAATCCACTTGTTTAATAATTTATTCATGTGAAATGTATTAAACATTTAATTGAGACTTTTGAAAGCCAGTGAAGTCATTTTACATTTTCATGTTATTCTTTACAGATATTTAGATTAACCAGGTAATCTTAAATAGTTTATTGTTAAATAGTTTATTTTAGAAAGGTGCTGTAAAATTAAGTTCTGTTTATTCTAGGTATACAAGTCGTTTTTATGTACTATCTTCTCAATCATCTAAAAGAAGCGTTTTACTGACAATGCAATCCCTAATACTACTCAAAATACACACTAGTCTTTTGAAGGGCATTTTGTTTAATCCCACTTTCGTGTTCCTTTAAAAATTTTAACTGTTGACTCTGGAAATTCAGCCAAGAATGTTGTATTGAACACTTGCTTGAATTTTTCTAAAAATTCATAATCAGCGCTGAATCTGAACTTGTTGGCCCAAAGTAACACCGTCCCTGGCTGGCAGAGGTACGCCATGGTGGTGAGCAGCTTGTCCAGGAAGTAGTGGTGGTAGACCACATCAGAGGCCAGCACATAATCATAATAAAACGTTGACTTGGGGAAGTTTTGTTCCAGGCCTTCTCCCCATACCAGTTCCTTCACTTCAGGCAGATGTGTTGTACAGTTTAGTGTGTTCTTTAAAAGGTTGTATTGAAGGTTTCCTAGGACATCAGGCATATCTGTTGCTGTGACTTGAGCTCCTAAGAGAGAAAGATAAAAAGTATAATATTACCTGGAAACTTTTGGGCAGCCACAGGGGACATAATACACTCGGGAAGAAACAAAAGAAATAGAATGGGGCTTCTCAACTTTGGTTCTATTGAAATACAGGCTGGTTATATTTGACATAATTCCAGCTGGATAATTCTTTCTCGTGGGCGGTCCTGCCCTGTGCATTGTAAGGTGTTTGGCTGCACCTCTAGTCTCCATCCCCTCAATGCCAGTATCACCTCCCCACCCCACCCCACCCCCAAGTCACGACAATCAAAACTGTCTCCAGACATTGCCAAATGTCCTTGGTGGAGCAAAACCACATTTGGTTGAGAACAACTGAAATAGAATAATGTGCCTGTCTTTTAGGAAATTGTAAGTTAAACAGTGGTGCAATATTGGGAGATTTCAGGATAATTAGCTAAACATACTAAGGTTCTTAGCATCAGTTTAATATAATATATAATGTTTTTTCTTCTAAAATTGTATTTAAAATTTTTGTTTTTCTCTTGTGTGAAGAAATCAGTACCCAGTTTCCTTTCTACAAAGGATGATCCATTTTGTGTGCCTCTCCCCTTTATCTAAATTCATGCAGTTAATTCTTAGGCATTTTAAAGCTAGTGATAATGGTTCACAAAATAGATCACCATATTTCCAGATTGATTTTAAAAGAACTGTAATAGTGTAGGCAGAAGTATGCCAGATTTGCACCCACTTTTTGCCCAGTGCCCAAGAACCTCCAACATGCATTTTGGACCTAAATCTGTCTTCACTTGAACACCTCCAGAATTTCAAATCCATCACACGGTAGTCGGTGGTTGACTGAGCAAGTGACTTTAACCTCTCTAAGACACAATTATCTTATCTCTGGGGATAACAGTGTTCACTCTAGCTCATGACACGTGGCGGGACGTCAGTGAGTGAGGTGATGGACAAGCACCTAGGCTGTCCCACAGCAAGCTCTCCTTATCAGTGTTGCCACGGTCAAGGTCTTTTGAAACCAGATCAGGAATAAACAAACAAACCTAAAATACTGGCCACAGTGGAAACAAGACCTGGCCCAGCACCAATTTCAAGTATTTTGGCATCTTGGAGACTCAGTTCCTCTGTATGTTTCTCCAAATACTGACACAAAGCCGTTGCCTGCAAAATATTCACATTTGTCACCTAGGCATTAGAACATTGGAAAGCAGTTGCGACCCCAATCCCCACCCCAGGTTAAATACTGTAAGACATGTTATTAATAGTTTCAGTTTATTGAAGGGTTCATAAGAATCAAAACGTACGTTTAATGCCATATTTAGACCTCTGGAATATGAAAATTATAATATGCATGAAAGGAGCTAGAGAAACAGGTTTGTTAAATTGCCTCTTCAGACAACCCCTGATCAATCTCCAGGAATAGGAAGATGGGTTCATCCCTCAAATCTGGGACATGAGGCCTGTAGAACAGCCACTTCTTGCTCTGCTTGAGTCATGTCAGGCCTCCACCTGCTCTAAGAATATTGTGTAAACTTCTTCAATGCCTCTCCCATCTGTCAAAACTCCAGTGGCTTAGGGCTTTGTCTGCCATACTGGACAACTGGGCAGTTATTTAGTTTTTTTAAGTGGTTCCTCTAAGAAACACTTAGATGATCAGAACAGCGCTCCCCAAACCAGTGTGCACACAAAGCACACATGGCCTGGCTAAGGATGCACATCGTGCGGCAGACCCGGGTTGGAGGGCCCAGGACTGCACTTCTCACGAGCCGCCAGGTGGCGGTCCAGGGACCACACTTTGAAGAGTGGCAAGGCGACGTTTAAAAACATATATGTGAATAACTTCAGATTGCTTTTCATGTAGGTAATCAGGCGTCCCTTGAGAATATAAAGGATAATTATTTGCTATGTGGGGGTTTCAATATTAGGAAGACACTGTCCCCAGGAACCATCCGGAGGCTATGCTTTGAGAGAATTTCTAGAGATGGCTGGCTGGAGACTTCCTTTTTCAAGTGCCACTCCCTCTGAGAGCCTGGCCCCACTGGGTTGCTATCTGGGGAAAAAGCTTTTCTCAGGAACAGCTACATCCTTTGACATTGCAGGCACTCCCCCACCCCTTCTTAGCCCTATTAGCAGACTCCTAAAGTGATCTCTCACAGAAAGCTACACTTGAAATCACACAAGACAAGGGTGTTTTCCCATTTTATATAAACCCTTCTTTTGCAGCTTTTAGGGAATTGAGGTCCCAAGAGAGGCCAGGGTTTTGTGTGTGAAGGACTGAGGCCTTACTGAGAATGAAATAGTCTAGATATTCTTTTTCCATTCCTAATCTCTGATACCTTGTTTATAGTTGTCTATTTGCCAAATATAATAGGAAGCTGTGGAGTCGTCTGGTGATTTTCAAATTTGTTGTTAAGCCAAAGAAAAGCTTTCATTTGAAGAAAATCATACTTACATGCATGAGGGGCACAAATCGAGCTTCCTTGGTTGGGACAAGGGTGAGGGGTGGAGTTCTAAGAGCCTGGAGCCCCTTGTCTGTCCCTCCCCTTCTCTCCACTCCTCCTGCTCCCCCTTTCACTTGCCACCAGTACCCCAGATCACCCGGAGGGAGCGCCATAGAACCTGACTACATGTATTCGTGGTGCCTGGACCCCCAAGGTCTGTATCACCTGGGAGTGTCTAAGGAATGCAGAGGCACAGTTCCCCCCACCCCATCCCCCAGACCTGAATCAGAATCTGCATTTTAACAAGGTCCCTGTAGGATTCACATCCATGCTAACAATTGTGCTGTTCTGACCTGGAGCCCCCCTAAGCACAGGCTGATAACCTCTGCAGTGCAAAGAACAAGTGCTGGCATCCGAGGCCACCGCCCCAGCCCGGCTCTGCGCCATGCCCCTGGTGGAATAGTTTACCAAATCAATGAACGTTTCTTCATGATTTCCTAATCCATTAATATTGATGAATAATACTACATTAACAATTACAGCTAACATGAGCTTAGGTGTAGCACCTCACTGAACTCTAACAACCATGTTGGGAACTGGACATGACCCATGCTTTAAATATGGAAATGAAGGCAAACGGAGGTGAAGCGAACATCAGTTACCACACAGCCAGGAAACGGCAGGTTTTCTGGCTCTAAATTCCAAGTGTTTCCCCTTCTCAGCGCCGTCCTCTAGGGGCTGTTCAGGGAGAACTCGAGATGAAGTAATGCTTCCTAAACGTTTCTACTGGAATATCCACAATGTAAAAGGGAAATGAATACCCTGAGGGTGTGTGGGCGTGGCCCTAAGGTATGTGCTGCAAAGTCCAAACTCTAAAACCCTAATTTTTTCCTCAACAATTCAAGTTTATATTAATGTAAACAAAATATGTTGCCAGAACATAGCATAGAAGAAAATCAGTGCTTCTGGGAGAAATGCTGTGTATCTGTGGAGCCCACGCACACCGCCCACACCCCTGGGGGGCCAACAACTGACCCTCAGTTGGAGAAGCACAGAATGCTAAAGCACTTGGCAAACTTCAAGGTAACACAGAAAGTGTTATTGTCCCCAGAAATCCTGCCGTCCCAGCATGGCAGTTCTCTCACCGCTGGCCACACCACCGCTCCGTAGCTCTCGATCGATTCTTGAATGACAATCTCCTTGCCTGCAAACAGGTAATTCTCCTGAGTGTAGCTGGCATAATCTGTAGGCACAAATTTCTGGAGGCTATGAAGAGATGGTTCTATCTTGTTAAAATCTGTGGGGCAGAAAATAAAATAGGTTTCATAATTTGTTGATCCAGTGCAAATATACACTTGGTACAACTGGTAAGATGGGAAGAAGTGGAAGAACTCTTTCCACAGAAGGGTTGATGCTGTCGTTGACCATGGCTGCAGACTGGCACAAAACGGAATGATGTGGGGTGACAGGGACATGAAATTAAGATGTGACATTTTTATCGTATGATGAAACACTAAAGGATGCCCTGGGTCCTCTTCTGTATTTAGGAGGGGACAGAAAAGGTGTGGATCCATCCCCACACTCTGTTTTGATGACAGGAGAAAGCTAAATAGCACAAGTGAGCTGTCTGTGTAAGGAGGGCCACGGCAAACATGGACCTGACTATTTTTAGGTCTTGAAGTAATATTCCAACATGTTGGCTGGAGAGTGTTTCTTAAATTCTTCCTACATCTGCTCCTCCAAACGTTCAGGTCACCCAAAGATGAGCCAGCCCCACAGTCCTGGGGGAGGTTGTCAGATGAGCTCTGGCTATTAAGTTACTACTTCTTTGAATACTTTTTTTATACTCATGACCCACTCTAGCAGCTCTCAAATATCATATAAAATAAGAGGAAAAGAGCATCTGCTTGGAGGAGGATGTGAATAAAGTTGAAAGATGGTGGGTCTTTGAAGAAACCAAGTCAGGAGTCCACCCCAGAGAGGCAGGTAGGATAGGCTATTTCAGCTCTCTCTGATTTCCACATGCACTTTTATGCTGCTGGTCTGCAAATCATTTGTACCGGATTCACAGGAAGGAGAGTACAGAAACTTGGGAGTAAGCATTTAGAATTTTTACAACAATTTAATCATGTCTGTTGAATCTAATTATGAAAGAAAGAGAAAGGAAGGAAGGAAGGGGAAGGAAGGAAGGAAGGAAGGGAAAGGGAAAGAAAGGAAGGAAGGAAGGAAGGGAAAGGAAGGAAGGGAAAGGAAGGAAGGAAGGAAGAAAAAGAGGAAGAAAGAAAGAAAAGAAACCAAAATGGGGCTTATATTTTGCATGTCTTTGTATTTTCAATTTGTTTTTCTAGAAATTCATTTTGTTGTTTTTACAAAAAAAGAGTATCAGTATGTGGCAGATTGGGAAATGGCCTTTGACCGCAGCTTGAGCAAAGCAACTGCTTTGTAAATAGCATGGCGGATGTCCACAGCTCTTCAGAGTGCTGCTGCTAACCACAGGTTCTGATTTAGTGTGTTCCACCCCCGCTGGAGGAGAATTCTCTGGCCTGAACAAAACAGTGAGCTTGCAGAGACCTGGCACTGCACTGAGCTCGCCAGAACTTGCTAATAAAGAGTGGCCAAGTCAGTCTTGAGACATTGTCCTTTCCTGTCACATGCCCTGCTTGGGGTTGTGGGTAAGTTGTAGGGAAGGGAAGGAGACCTACAGCCCTCCCCTACCTCTTATTATGGGAAGCCACTGACATCTAAGAACACCAACCCAATGTTTAGGAATGACCAAAGAGGCCCTAGCTTCTCTCATAGGGCTGGTAGGCTAACTCCAAATTCTGTTTCAGAGACAATAAGAAGGCTGAGCAAGACTGCAGGGGCCGGTAAATGTTTGACCACCAGTTTAGGCAAGAGGAAGAAACACTGATTTGTAGGGTTTGATGATTACCATGGTGTAAACACTCCCACCCTGGTGATTTTAAACTACCAGGGAGATGTCACTGGGAAAAGATGTGGAGCAGCACGCCATCATGGAGTGTTTCTACCAACCAGACACTGAACTCAAGAGCCTCAAGAGCATAGGTAATTGTCAAATGTAGTAAAATAATTCTTAATGAGTCTTGAGTACTTATTACCTTGTTTTTTCATATACCTTTGCCTTTTATATAATGTATTATAAGTTTATAGAACTTAGATTTCGATAATGGCTGTGTTTACTAACCAGCTCACAAAATTCCTTAAATTCAGGAGTTGGTATAGGCCAGTTGGTACAAGGAGTCGGTACAGGGCTGTGCTCCTTTTCTCAAAGGCTTTCATCAGTGGAGCACCTACTAAGAGCAGCCAGACCATCAGAGAGACTCATGTCAGCTCCTGCAGGCCTCCCTCCTACACCTCCACCCCCACACCCCCGCTATGGTCCAGATTGTTCCTTCTTCCCTTCCTTCCACATATCACCAACTGGGGGCTCTCAGGGCTGTAGGAAAGGTCAGTGGGCTGCATTTGAATGAGCAATCTAGATGGATGTGAACTAGACTTATTGTAGTCATCACTTTGCAATATATGCAAATATCAAGTCATTACATTGTACACACCTGAAACTAATATAATGTCATATGTTAATTACATCTCAAAAACTTTTTCTAAATCTAGAGTTAAAAGAAATGGAAATTCTTGTTACGGAAGTAAACTGGAAAATGCCATCACCAGGAAAACCACTGAGAAGTTGCCAAGGTGATAAAGAAGGAGGTTACCTCCTGGGGGCCCATTGGAGCCATCTTTCTGGAGAGTGTCTTCCCCCTTGGCCTCTAACCAGCCATCTGGAGAGCTCGGTCCTTCCACCAGGCGCTTGGGCTGCTGCTCGGAGCTCACACACAGGTCCATAAGCAGAGTGGCTGGAGAGGAGAAAACTGGACAAGACCCAAGTCGCTCAGCCTCAGGCTTTTTGAATCTCCCAGAAGACTTTAAAAGGTTCAGCTTATCGCCTTAGCATCTGTTGAGCCGAAAAGAATATGTGCTTTTCAGCTTAGTTTCCTGGGCAAGCAAGGCAGCCACCCAGAGGGCTGCCATCCTGGTTTTGCAGAGCAAAGTAGTGTGAGACCATGACACATGACCAAACCTAATCTGTGCATGAAGAGAGGCAAAAACAGAGCAATTATAGCGAAGGGTCAGGGTCATTGCTGGGGTCTAAAATATATTTCTGAATATTCAGCTTTTGAAACTGAATCGTAGTAAAGAAAATCTGGTCCAGCAATATGACCACTGGGATCACCTTATGGATTAATGGGTAAATGACATGGATGAAAAGCCAGGACTTGGAGCAAACACAGGGCTGCTCCCTTTTCATCTGAGACTTTATTGCAAGATAGTAGCGCTGGGGGCTGAGAGCCAGGGCCTGCTTTGGCTCCCCACTCCGACACTTTGCTTTCACTTAATCCCCTTGCCATTTCGCCATTTCGTCATCAGCCGAAAGGGAATGATAATATCTGCCTACCTCCCAAGGCTGCAGCAAAAAACAGGATAGCGAAAGTGTTTAGTAGAGCACAGGAAAACGCTGTGATTCAGAAAAGGGGGGCCCTGGCTGTTGGAATCTTTGATGGGCATCAAAATAACCCCTGACATGCTGCAGGACGGACTTACACTGTTGCCAAGCACCATTCTAGTGCTTTACATGGATGGATTTGTCTAACCCTCACAACAAACCCTGTAAAGTAGATGCGGTTATTATGCCTCTTCACAGATGAGAGAAATTCAGGCACAGAGAGGTTTAAAAGCAGCCCAAGAGCCCCCCAGCTGGCCAGTGGCAGAGCCAGGAGTCAAACCGAGGAGGCTCAGCTGCAGAAACTGCCTTCCTGACCTTACGGCAGAGCACGGCTTCTGTCGTGTTGCTTCAGCCCTGGGTTTCCTGACCTAGTTTGCCCTGAAATTACTTACAGTGTTTATAGTGACATTTTATAGTCTTTTTTACAAACTGTAAATGGCTTTTCTTGTATGTGTTTACCATTTTGAGTTTCTTTTTCATACACAGGAGTTGCCCCATCATATTGTTTCAGCCAACTGCGGATAATAACTGGCCACACCAATCACACCGTGACTAGCTGAGCCAGAAATCAACAAGAAGCCCAGCCATTCAGGCATTAGCTTACTCCCATGAGCAAACAATATGCAAGGAAGAGCGCCAGCCCCTGCCGCTAATGTAATCCCATCCCACACCTGGAGAAGCTGCGTGTCCCTCGCATTAATGTGCGCAGGGTTCCAAACAAACGGAGTGCTGTGAAAGTAACTTAACGTTTTCATTGGCTCTAGAATCAAATACGCAAAATGTATCCCCCACCAGCCGAGTGCTCTACCGGCCAGTGCTTCGCAGAAGTGTTTTCTCTTGAAGATATTTACTTGCTCCTTCTTTTCAACTTCCCCACAACTCCAGGAAGTTTCCCCCCAAAAGACAGCAGACCAGTGGCTTGATGAGGCCACAGGCCAGTGAGGCAGGCAGGCAGTGGTGAGGAGGCTGTGTTTGAATCTTGTCTCGGCCAGGTACTAATTTGTCGGAAATACAGATAATGGTGACATCTACCTCATAGGTTGGTTGTGAGGATTAAGAGAGGCAATCTATGCAAAAACTCACACTCCTACAGTACTGTGATTATTGTCTCCGAAGCTGGAGCACTTACCCAATACAACACTATGGAGGACCCCCATCCAGCACCATGGAATTCTGCACATTAAATTTAAGACATTTCTTCATTTTTCATGCAAGCAAAGGAGAATTATTTTCAAATAACAGGTGGTACTATTCCTTGTAAAATAAAATGACTCCCTCCTTCATTATTATAGTTGACATGAGAAATTACTTTTTTCCTCAAACAGCTATACAGCTGTACATTGAAAAACAACGTAGAACATAACTGCAGTAATCTGCCTAGTGTTCATTATTATTAGTTCGATGCATCGTATGATATATATCATATGTTAGTACTTAATAAAGAATTAGGACGTTTTTTAAATGACCCCTTGTTAGTACCCTCTTAATAATTTTGAACTGTTGTTAGTTTAAACGTATCTTTACCTTATGTAGCAGAAGAGATTTGAGATTTCTGTGTACCCTTTAATCCCCCATGTTTTATATATATCTGCACCTGAAAGGATTAGCATTTTATGAACAAAAGCCAGCCAGTGGAAGTTCAAGTTATTTAGGGTAGCATTACCCACTTGCACTCAGACATATTACTTTGCTAGCATTTCCTCTCTCTCTTTCTACCTCTCTCCCTCTCTCCCCTGCTCTCAATTCTAAATTTTCTCTTCCTCTCTCTCTCTCTCTCTCTCTCTCTCTCTCTCTCTCTCTCTCTCTCNTGATATAGATAAAGGAAACCATTTACCTAGTATAATGCTTTTATTTTACAAAAGAAAGCCCAGAGGGGTTTGGCAGATAGCCACAGAGCTGGGCCTGACCCCACCTCCCTCTCCTGGCTGTCAGCGCCTCTTCCTCATTGGCTTCAGCTGGCCTGGGAGGAGCAGCAGCTTTGGAAAAACAGGAGAGCTGGAGAAGTTCACAACGGGGCAGAGAGGAGTCCAGAGCCCCAGGAACTTTTCTAACCAGAGGTAAATGAATGCTTCTCCTGTACATCTGGAAACCCAGCCTGAAGTAGCCACCTTGAAATCTCCTCATGCCTGATCTTTAAAAGGTAATGTGAATTGTATATTCTGTTTGCTAATAAGACTTTGGGATTAGATTGAGGGTGGCACTCAGGTGCTGCTTCTTGATTGGTGACTTTGAGCAAGTCATTGAACCATCGAACCTCAGTTTTCACATCTGTAAAATGGGAATGACGATACCAGGGTCAGTGTGAAGAGTAAATTACATAATGTATATCAGGCTGCTGATGCTTCATATGATTGGCTGGTGAGCAATCCCTGGCATATGAGGGAGCAGAAATTTTCTAATGAAAGGGTCACTCATGTCATGATCACATGGCTTTGCTTTGTGTATTGGGGTAGTATTATTTGGGGTTTGGAATGTATGTTGCAACTTCTCATATTTACTCCCTTTGGAAAATGATACCCCAGCAACAGCTGAGTTTTGAAGAACTTGTGACACATTAACTTAGAATGAACACACAGTAACGCTGAGGCCTGGTAAATTTACTGCGCAGCAGTTCACAATCAGTTGAGATTTTTCGATGAAAAGTAAGCTTTCCTTTACAGAATTCCAGCCTATTTTTGTCCGCAAGGAGAGCTGATATGGCTTATTTTGTAATAATTCTTGTAATGCTATGATGATATGCATGTTGATATACACGTTCTAAATCTATTCATGAGTTGGCTAAGATGCAGTATGATGCTTTTCTGGATATTTAGGGGGACTGTCTGAGCTTCTGGGAAAGCCATGGGATCAGGATTAGATGTTTGACAGTGTTTTAGGAGAACTAGCAAACATCTTGTATATGAAATTTATGAGTCTTAGGGCCGGCTGAGTGGCTCAGTTGGTTAAGAGCTCGCTCAAGACTGTGAGCTCTGGGCCGGCTGAGTGAGCGTTGGTTAAGAACTGGCTTGGGACGCCAGATGGCCCCGGTTTGGATCCCACATATGAGGGCCAGTGACACTGCCCTCTATAGCTAAGATGCTGAACAACAGCTCAACCTGGAGCTGGGCTGCCCTGAGTCACCGGCGAAGGCTAGGCTGCANCACACACACACACACACACACACTCACTCACACACACACAATCCTTGCAACATGAAACAGAATCACCCTCCAAAGGGCCAGAAAATCACTCCAGCAGAGCAGAGACTGTCCTCCGGTATCCAGTTGCTGTGATGTAGTTTGAAATGTGGACTTATATTTCACTTCAAAAAGAAGTGGGGGTTGGGTAGTTGGGGTTTTAAGGGCCTGCAAACTTTGTGCTCATTAGCCAAACTCCCACTGCTGAAGGAAGAGGCATGCCTGCCACAGGCTCTGTCCTGGACCCTGATTCTAGCACCCAGAAATAAGAGGCTGGGAAAAGTTTTGCGAGGAAGACATGAGAACAGTCTATCCATAAGAGATGCGAATCAAAGGCTTACAGTCACATAAGAAGAATTTAGTTGGGACAGCAGTGAATAGGAAATCAGAAAAATTCTTCCAAGAAAAAAGCCAGTGGTTGTCATTCGTTTAATTGAAATAAGGGGCAGCTAAGAGGGAAAGAGGAAGCATATGTGCTCATTTGGGAAGCCTGGAAACCCTTAAAATAGAAGATTGTAAATTAAAGCCCCCGGCAAATGGTTATTAAATAATCAGTCACATTTATGAGGGACAATGTGTAACCACTGAGCTAAATGAAGAGGGATTCGGCCTGAGTAGATATAAGAGCCTATTTTATTATTATTACTTTCTTACTCAACTTTGGTATTTTCTTCTCTGCTGTCGCTTTCCCCCCTTTATGTTCATTTCTTTTAACTCAGGATCTTCATCCGGATGTGCTGGTCCCACGACACTCAGGCGCCTTCCCTGCTCCATTAAACGAAGGAAGGACTTAGAGTCTTTTCCAAATCTGTCATTCTAATGCTTTGCTTATTCCCAAAATTGCCCAGTTCTAGGATTCTGTCTTATTTCCACCAGGTGTCATCATCTTTATAAGAAATAGCAAAAATACAGTCATCATTACAACTTGGTAAATAACTTTTAAAACTGATTGCAACATATGTGAATATATGTATGTACATTTACACACACACACACACACGCATTCATCCTATGAGCTTTAAAATGAAATAAATGACAAGAAAAAAATTTAAATCTCCTTTAATCCCCCTATCTGGAGAAGTAAGCCTGACTAACATTTCCTGGTATCAATTTCTAGGCTTTTTTGGGTATGAACTTTATAAAGCTATTTTACTGGATAGTAACATGTACCTCTTTGACCTAGTTTGGAGTATCCTATTATTTTAAGAGTTTATTTTTAATACTTTCTTCAAAAACCATCTTTTAGGTAGCTGCTTTAAGAAGTAAATGAGAACCCCATTGCCTGGAGCTGGGATAAGTAGGTCCGAGGTTTCTAAATGTTGGACTAGAGATGAGCTCCATCAGAATTATCTGGAAGCTCTAAAATACGTAAAATCTAGGCCCTTGGAAATTCCTGCTCAAAGACCTGAGAAG